TATGAGTCCAGGAACTGAACCTGAGACCCCAGAGTCATTTGACATGGTAATTACATATGAGTCCAGGAACTGAACCTGAGACCCCAGAGGTAAAATGAGAGTGTACCACCCCTATCGCACCTTTCCTCCATTCCCATCACATTATTAATGGAAATTTGATTATGATGTTAAAATGTCTCATATTTAGCCTGTATTTCTCCTCAGAAATGATGTACCCTAAAGCCAAAGTCAGACATTATGATGCAGATAAAGTCAAGGTATGTTGACCACCATCTTGATAGTTTACCATTATATATGTTTACTGCCTTATATCATGGTTAAAATTGTTCTGTTTTAAACAATAGAAATACATGGAAAAACAAATTGCGGAGAGGAAGAAAAAGATGAAAGAAGAGAAGCAACTTCAGCGGAAGGCTGTGGATGAGCGCAAGAAAAAATTAGAGGTATTGTGATGAATTTTTATTGAATTTTACAATACTCACTCAATTATACATAATTTAGCAGGTTCTTTAGAGGGAGAGGGGCACGAACACATGGGAATCCTGCACTTTAAAATGATTGCTGAGTAGGATACGTAGTGTGATGAATTTACTATAAGATACAGGAGACTCTTGTGTATACATATGATATAAGGATTAGGCCTGGAAATTGAGCAAAAATTAAGGGAGGGAGGGAGGGACGGAGCAAGCAAGAGAGAGAGAGTGAGAGAAATAAAGAAAGAGAGCAAGACAGTTTGTAGTTATTAGGCTTGCTTTTAACCTATGACCTCACAGCTTGAAGAAACCCTATTTTGTATCCTTACAGGAGCTGTATAACAAGCAGAAGAAAACATTAGCTGCTAACCTGGCTAAGAATAAGAATAGAATGGGAGAAACATACTCTATGTTCCCTGGATTTATCAATGCACCCAGTACTGACCAACAGCATCCATATCTTCATCATATTACAGAGGTAGGTATTTACTCAAGAAAAGAGTAGATCTTACTAATGTTGTACATGAATAAAGATATCCCCAAAGTGTCTCACTTGATGTTTTCCCACAGGCTTACTTATTTATGCTTTACTGTATTACCTTTTTTCCTTTAGTTTCAAGTTGAAGATGTTATGACTAGTGAATCAGATAAAGGTCAGTAATTATATAATATTGTCATCATTTTTGTCGTCATCATAATCAACCTAATCATCATCATCGTGGACATCATCATCATCACCATAACCATTATTACCATCACAATCATCAATCACCAGTTATTATCATCATCATGTCATCACCATCACAATTGCCAGTTATTGTCGTCATGTCATCTTTTCATTATTATTGAACTAATAGAGAGCTTGTTTTCTAGTGCTTATTCTTTTACTTCCTCATCACCTGCTTACAGTATAATGACCATTATCATGATATAATATCTATAATCCTTCCCTAGAAAACGTTGACATAGCATCATTCACTGGTCTACCCTACCACCAAGACACTAGTTTCAACAAGAACAAGCCTTATGATTCTAAATCATCAAGTGATCTATCAGACAAGGCTTATCACAGACCTCCTGTCTTGCCACATGATAAAGAAGAGAGTGAAGATGAAGGAGATGTGACACTGACTCCTGTCCATGATGAAAGCAGTGATACCCGAACTACTGTCAGAGAGAAGCTGGATGGTAAAAGAGAACCAAGTATTAGATATCCTGGTTTTTCTGCTGGTAAGTCAAGTACTGGTGTAGTTCTCTAAGCACTTGATACCTTGCTCTCTCTCCGTTGTTATCAAGGTTTAAGAAATTCAAGACCTCTTGGAGATGTTTCTCTAAATTGTATTCATCACTTTTTTCTTTAATTAGAATATGAAGATTCTGAAATAACAGAAGTCTCACAGCCATCAGAATCAACAGGATACAAAATGGTGATGCAAGGTATTGCAATTAGGGTGATTATGGTGATGGCAAGATGATACTGATAGTGGTGGTAGTGGTAGTGATGATGATGATGATGATGGCAATGATGATGATTGTGGCGATGATGATGATGATGGTGGTGAATCATGGTAACGGATAATGGTAATGATGAAAATGATAAGATTGATGATGATAATGATGGCAATGTTGATGAAGGTGGTGACGATGATGATGGTGGTGATGATAATAATGATGATGATGGTGATGATGATAATAATGATGATGATAATGATGATGATAATGATGATGGTGATGATGGTGGTGATGATAATAATGATGATGGTGATGATGATGATAATGGTGATGATGATAATGGTGATGATAATGGTGATGGTGATTATGATGCTGATGATGGTGGTCATGATGACTAACAGTATTATGAGGGTGGTTATAATGATAATAATTACTAAACAATCATGGTTTGATTAACCAGATAAAGTAGCTTCAGTACCCACATCAATGACAAGTCCCAGTAGATCAGATAGAATAGCAGCCCTCAGGAATACTGCGGCTGAACTCAAGCAACGCCTTGAACAAGAAGCAAGAAGACTTGGTCTTTCCTTACTCCACCAAGCAGAGACAGAACAACATCCATCATCTAGTGGTGTGTCTAAGATGGAAACTGAAGTGTTCAGAGGGCAGTTACCAGGTAGAGTGATAATGATATAGGCCCACAGTAATGCAATATGCATAACACCCATTCAGCTTATTCCACTGGTTTTTTTAAACAAATGATGCACACCTCCTGGTACACCACTGTTATTGAATAACTTCTATTATCTTTGTCTCCTGTTCTCTTACTCTCTTCTTTCTTTAACTCTCTCCTTTTCTCCTTTCTTTTGTTTCTCCTCTTTTTTCTGTCTTCTCTCATTTCCTCTTTCTTCTCGTCTTGTCTCTTCCTTCTTTATCTCCATCTATTCATTCATTCATTCATTCATTCATTTTTTCTTTTTTTCCCCAGGTGTAGATAATTTACATGAACAGGCAGAGCTGAATGAAGAACTTGTAAGTTATTGTGTATTCCTGTGCTAACATCTTACCTGTCATTGGAATCACCAAGAAATGTTAGTCAGATTAAAAGTATTAAGGATTTCCATTATCTTTTTTGCTATTAGGACAGTATGAACACAGCAGCAACAAAAATCCAAGCCATATATCGAGGTCACAGCACCAGACAGGGACTAGCATGGAAGCTCCCCTCAGGACGTACCCTGGGAGCAACCTTACGTGAAGCATGGAGACAAACCCCTTCCGACGGGAGGGAACATTTTTCAGAACAGTCAAGCATGTCATCTGCTATGGATGCCTCTAGTGAGAGTAACGGTTCTGATGTAGAGACAGCATACAGTCATGAGTCACAGCCAAGTTCAAAGTCACAGAGTTTGAAGGTAAGGGTGTGGTCATTGGGGTCTGTCCTTTCTGCATAGAGGGCGAAGGGTTGCACTTGATTTCCCATTAGCTAGCAAGTCTATTTTCTTAACCATGTTATAAACTGTACTTTTTTTTATCACAGTAGTGTCAACTCATTGTTTTTTTTTTATATATTTATTTTGTTACATCCTAGCATGTAAGTGTGTCAGACAGTAAACCACGTACAGCTCCACTAAGCTCATCACCAAAAGGTATAACTGTACTATTAAAACATTGATCTATTTTTCCGTACGTTGTGAGGCATAAAAAAATGGTTGGTCAACCAACCAAATTAGCTCATTCATGCCTCATTTTTGAATAAACCTTACTGGTCAAATTGACCAGCAACTCGGAGGTTTGACTGGACAAGCTCCAAGGACGTTGTCAGATGACCCGCCATCTTTCTTTTTTTTTTGGCAACTTTTAGTACAACATACCAGCGTTTATTGATTATTTATCGTCCAGCATTCAATAACTAAAACTTTTCCCCACTTTATGTTAGATAAACAAACTACGAAGAAAGAATACAGACCATCTACTACTCTAGGCAAATCTTGGACAAAGCCAAAACCTCAAGGAGACAGGTACAGACACCTCTAATGTTCAACATTTATTGTTTGATATTATAGGTAGCTTTGTGTAGCAGCCCTTAGGGACCAAGAGGAGATGAGGGCCGTTCCTCATTGGGAGAAGAGTTCAATGACATTTTTGTTTGATTCCAGGCTGAGTGTTATTAATATCTATGCTAGAAATCACTTGGCTGTGAGGAAAGATCAAGGTAAGATATTAATGATGTATGAATGTCGATTCATCATTTCCATCCCCCTACTATCTTTCCATCCATCCGTCTGTCCATCCACCCACCCATCCATCCATCCATCTGTCCGTCCATCCACCCACCCCATCCATCCTTCTTATCCCATCTATCCAGTCATCCCATCCATCCATCCCATCCATCCATCTGTCCGTCCATCCATCCATCCATTCATCCCATTCTTTTCTTATCATACAGTCAATTCAAAAAATGTTGTCGTCGACCAACTCAAGCCTGCGCGACTGGACCGAAAGGAAGTCTGGGTAGTAATCATTAAAGTCCACGGTTGACTCCATAATTTTATCTGACTAGTTATGACTGGTTTACAGCATGAACCTTCGTAGGCGAGCGGGAAATGTTGAAGGAGATGTTTTTTTAATGCCTTCATGTTTTTGGAATTGTGAACTGAATCATAACTACTTTGCTTTTCTTTCCCTAAATCCGAAGACAGCATTTGATGGATTGTTTCTCGCCATTATTATCTCATTACTAGCGGGAACAATTTATTCAGAACGAATATTTAACCGCTTCAGTGATTTTTACCCATATTCCTTTCGGTCCAGTCGCGTAGGCTTGAGCCGGTCGACGACAACGTTTTTTGAATTGACTGTATATCCTACTCACTCATCATACCCATTCCTTCCACTAGTCCACCCATCTCAACCTTCCATTCATTTAGCTGTTCAAAAAAAATCAATTGTAATTTTCACAGAACCAGAAGTCCCCCCAGAAGCCCAAGACGCTGGTAATAACACTGCCAGTCTTTACTCAGATAAGACAGGAGAAACAGCTAGTCTACTTGAAGATGTAGAGGATCTAAAGGACGATACTAGAGACTTGGATAAAACCCTAGTAAGAGAGACACCCACTGATGATAATCATGGTTATGAGGATGACTTTAGCCTTGAGTCACAGGACAATAGCATCAAGGTAAGGCTAATTCAATACTCCAGTTCTACATGTATCAAACTCAACTGTTTTTGGTGACAAACATGTTTTTTATCCTCAGCCTTCACCAAGTCAGCCTTCACCAAGTCCAGAGCGTTCCTACACCCAGTCTTTATCAAGTCCTACTAGATCAAGATCCTCTGTGCTTTCACAGTCTGACAGTGATTACTCTCCTACAAGACCAATACTCAAGTCCACAATGGTGAGTACTAACAAAAAATATCTGGAACGTGTTGGCTTCAAAACCCAGATACAAATGAGTTATAAGGTAGTTTAAAACAATTTTTGGTAGATTACAATAACAGTCTTTGTTCTTTTGCCTGTTATCATGTTGGATTGTAAAAAACAATCTTTATTCCATGATACATGGACATTTTCGACTGTTAAAAGTATTTTGTTGCTGTTACCCAACATGGTCGCCTTTTTTAGCGGTTGGATTATTTTTGCTCTTTTTTTCACTCTTCCTCTTAGCGTCATATTGAAAGTGAAGGCAGTACCTACCCTGCTCCATCTTCAATTCGTCCACCTCCACCTCTCTATGCTCCTGATCGTCAGGGGGGTGACCGCATGTCTCCTGGATCTCTTGATCAGCGTTTGATGGCTGAGCTCAACCGATTAGAGTTCATGGAAGAATCTGTACGACAACTGACGGACATCGAGAGAACAAAATCTGTGTCATTTGCTCAGCAGGAAACGGTATCACTTGCTCAGATACTGAAGGTAATGGTGTAAGAAGTCGTGGAAACGAGGGAAGTACTTGTTACGTAAGGGAGGGAGGGAGGGAGGGAAGCAGGAGGGGTTGAGTGGATAGATAGACAAGTAAGCAAGTGAATGAACTAGTGTCACAAAGATCGTTATTTTCCAGGCAAAACAATCCGCACATGCAAGAGATATGGAAACACTGCAGCTCAAAGCCAAGCAAGAAAAGTTTGAAGCAGCACGTCAACTTGACGAGGTAGGCAATCAACAGTTGTAAACCATGCGTTCGGCGTAGATATCAAGACTGCCCCTGACAATGCCGCACAGCTTGGACTCACGTTTTTTTTTTTACTAAAAATACCATAATATTTAACCAAAAATGAAACCCCAATTTCCTATCCAATCTTCTTTCTCCGTGTTTTATTTAATGTGATTTCCTTTTATCTGAATATTTCTTTTTTATATTATGAATATTTCTTTTTATCAGGCTCGAAATATTGCTTCTAGATCATCCATCGAAGCTCAACAGTCTGTTGCCAAAGCAAAGGCAGAAGCAGCTGATTCGATTGCACACGCTACAGAAAGACTAGTTAAGGTAACCTTTGAAGGAATGAGAAAGAATAAATGAATAAATGAAACGAGGAAAGAAAATATAGGGAGCACGCACAACGGTCATTTGACAACACACCTTGGAGAGGAGAATCCTGTTCCAGTTGCAGACCAACTTCTTTTCTTTTACCCTTTCTCCTGGTATTAACAAGGCTTTCTCCGCTATTTATAGGCTCAAGCTGATGCAGCACGCACGAATACTGAAGCTGCACAAAGAGTAGAGGAGGTATGTCGTATGCTGTATGTAGTATAGGTTTGGCCTTTTTTGTGAGTCGGTAATCAACGGTGCTTCTTTATACGCAAACCATCGTCATGGCACGCAACGTAGATATCGTACATTTATTTCTTCGAAAATCATTTCATTTTGGAACAAGGAACAAAGTTCTCTCACAGTCTTCCTATGATAATACCAATTTAGTATAATTTTACTTGAATATAGAGCTTCGCGCGCTGTGATTGGTCTAGCGACCAGTGATTATGAGACTATAATCGCTGCTCCTGCCGTGATTATTATCAGGTTTCCCAAAGCTTGCCAAAGCAATACTCAAACGTTTTCTTATCCAGAATTTCGTCTTTTCTCTGATATTCAAGTCTAAAATTAAAATATTGATAATCGATTGTGTTTTAGGCACGTACTGAGGCTGCAAGGACTCTCTTTGAAGCAGCCAATCAGCAGATCGCAGATGTTGGGAAAGTAAGTGCGTCAGCCGCAAGCGCAGCTGCTCAGGCTGCTGTCATGTCGACACTAGAACAGTACAAACAGGAACAACGAGCACTAAGAAAACAAGACTCAAAGAGAAGAACACCTGATAGCTATTCTGAGTGGTCAACGAGTTTTACCAGGTCTAGGTCATCACGGACAGCTACTGAGGGAGAGACTGGGTCCAGGAGAGGACCTTCTGGTGATGGATACACAAGTGACGAGTTTGAGTCATTCAAGGAGTCTGAACGGTCTAAAAGGTATTGATAACTGTAGTCTAAACATTAGTTATGCTTACTGTGACGCTGAAGTTTGGTCTATCTGTGTTTTACCAGTGCAAGAAGTGTGTCACCTCACCGATCAGGCAGCCGAAGTTACTCCAAAACATCACAGCCTTTCTCGGTCTCGCCTACTCGAGAGAGATCTGGTGCGCACTCTAGTGCCAGTATCCCAGAAGAAGTTGACCTCAGTGTGACAGAGGGGAGTCTGGTGTCTGATGTTATTCCTGATGATGAGTCCATTGCAGAAGTGATATCCGAAGGCAAGAAGCCTAAAGACAAGACAGGTAGTTGATAGAAAGTACCTGTAAACCAGACAACACCACACTTATTCTAGATATCCCTCGTAGCTATCATTAATCGCTTCCAGATTCTGCACTAATGGGAAGGAAGATTACTACCAATATTAATGGCGGACATTTCCTCGTGTTTTGGCTTCCGCCCCTCAAACTTGCATCGTTCTGGAAAGTACTTTTTATTAAATAGAAACCAAAAACCCAGACATACAAGTTTTTGAGATCATAGAAAAATGAAAAACATTTAATACGTTTTCAAGGCAACTTTTTCTTATTAGGGACCATTTAGCACGACGTTCTCGCTAGGTACCGTAAACCTCAAACTGCAGTTCGACGTCCAGCGTTTTAAGCAAGGCGTCATAACGAAGTTGTTGCTGGAAGAGCCGCCATATTGAATTTCATTCATATTGAGTGTTTGTCGGTGTTTGCAGGCGTGTTTCTGGGCCTGATTCCTAGTTGTTAGCAGCAAACCCGATGCTAAAGGTCTCTATTAATGTGAATGTTTTTCTTCAGATCACGAGTACAGCATGACATTTGAGGAGTCCATGTTGTCTTCTCGTACCGTAACAGACGATGAACTTGATTACCGTATGATCCTCCCATCAGAAGACCATAGAAGACGTAGTATAGGAAAATCATACAGGAGTGGTAGTATTGGATCTGATCATGGTACCATATCCTACTCATCGGTATGATTATCAGGGATTATCAGGGATTATAGGGATATTGGATCATGATGATGATGTTGGTAGGGTGGGGCGTGATAGGGATATTGGATCATGACAATACAAAAAATATGCTATTGGTTTTTGATAGGATGATGGTGATAAAAACGATGATTGGTCATATGGTAGGGGTAGAAGCGTTGGATGATTCTGATAAAAAGTATAGAGAATGGCAATTGGTGAAGTAGGGGTAGGGGTAGGGATGATAATGCATGATAAAGAAGGAGATCATCTGTATTAAAAGGCAAGCTAATAGTTTATTCCTTCCCAGGATGAAAACCACGACGGCCATCTCTCTGATTCGATGCATGACAAGGTAAGACGTGTGCACGGTTCCTAACATAATACCAGTCTTTGCCTTTCAATCGCTGGCCATCACCAGCGACAGACTCGAAAATTATGAGCAACAGCAGTATTATGAGTCAATGGAAGCACTAAATGGAGCAAAGTTTTAAGTTCATAAAAAACCTTTATTCTCTCTTCTAGAACGCGCCATTTTCTGGCGAAGATTCGTTCAGTAAGTTCACATCTGACATGGTCAACCTGATGAAGGAAGAAGAGGTGCGTGCGAAGCATCAAGAGGCTCTACTGCACCTGCGCGAGAAAGCCCTGAAGGAGAAAACCAAGGCCGAGATGGCCTGGCTCGAGTTACAGAAAAAGCGAATGAGAGACAAGGGTTCTGATGACGTCATGCCGTCAATCAGGAAACGTCAGCGAGGTGTATTAATGAGGTTACAAGCAGAGAAGGTGGGTTATAATGATTAACTATAGTTCATCGTTAGAATTTCGTTTGCACTGTACGTCTTTAGCTTCCTTTGTTACTGACACCAACATGGTCAAAAATCAACTCCTAAATTCCAATTCGATCATGGAATGAGGGCCACAGGTTTGTTAGCCACTGGCTATTAAGTGCTACCCTCGTGAAAAAAGGACTTTTTTGTCGCAATGTAGCAACCCATGCACTTATCTTTTTTGCTCGATTTTTTTTTTTGAAAGGAAAGGTTGCGCGATATTTTTTTCGAAGGGAATGGAAATGGGAAAACATTACGGTCAAGTTGAATGGGATCATTTTCGTTTTCATTTCCCACAGGCTGAAATCAAACGTCTCAAAGCAGCAAACAGAGCAGCAAGTTACGAACGTAAACTACTCCTCATGCAACAGGAAGAGATCGCACGACTGCGCAAAAGCACTCAGAAAATCCGTGGAAAAGTCCGCGAGGAAGAAGCCGTAATGTCACGTGACAAGGATGAGGTACAAAATACTGCGTGCGCATAATGGCTATACCTATATTTAGTAATAGAGAGGTGTTCGCTGTATGAGTGGGACTGAAACGATACGGCAAAATCGTAGCGGTGCTGTAGCAGTATCGTAGCGTAGCGTAGCCATAACTACGTGTTTTGGTTGGATAAAGTACTGCAAGACAATGGGAAGCCATTTCAATGTTACGGTATGTCGTACCGTGTACGTGTAAGGCTGGACCGTATGCCCAACCGATAATGATATTGATAAACAGAACGATGCAAACTTTCATTTATAATTAGATAGAAATCAAGATTATAATTTCATTATGTTGCTGGTAGAAAGATGAGTGGGTGAGCTATCCATCTTGACTCTCAAAAAGCATCTAATAAGAAAGCGCGCGTGGTTAATATCTGTATTTTAAAGTGCAAGTATTATAGTATTTCACCAGTTTGTTGAAGTACTTTGTGTGTGGGCGTTTCCCGGAGACACTTTAAACCTCAAGAGCGGTTTAATACTTGATAGTCAGTGTTTTTTTTAACAGCATCTCAAGAATATAGTTTATTGAAACTACGTCTTTGTTAAGTAACTCTAGCTATTCTTTTCGGCAGAGTGCAGTAGACGTACCAAAAGATCTTTCACCAACCAAGACAAGAGACTTAACTACACCAGAAGAGTCGCCATCTAAATCATCTACAACAGTCCCAGAAGAACTATCCGCTATCCAATCTGCTGCCGATTCATCATTTCCCGCGTACGACGATCAAGAACCGAGCATAAGCGAAAGACCTCGGAAGAGATTGTTTTCCGAAGGGGAGAGCGACGATGGAGTAGCGAGTGGTTCTGTAGCTGCCAAGTCGAAAGGTTCGCCTACATCAAGTGACTCGTTTGTAATGCAACAACTCAAGAAACTAAAAAGCCAATCGAGTGAAAGGTAAGCTAATTTTATCAACATCGCTTGTAATTACTCAACATTAGCACATTTTGATCAACGAAGTAGACGGAGATACGCTTGGCGGCGCGAACATTAAAAATGTTCTTGAGAAGTTTTGTCCTTGACATGCGACTGAGCAATATCCCATTTTATAAACAAAAAGTCAAAGACGAAACATCTCAAGAACGCTTTCATATTTAGTGCAGCCAAGCTAGCGTATCTTCGCGCGTAGCCTCGTTATGATACACTTCGTCACGGCATCTCGAAAACGAGCTAATTGCTTCTTCCGTACTTGACCAATGAAAGGGCACAGAAATCTACAGGTCGAAGCCACATTTCTTAGGACGATGGAGATTTGGGCTTCCTGTGTTATGATTCTTTAACTCGAACTCCTGTGATATAACCTGGCTTTTTGTATAAAATTATACTAATATGGGATATAATTTCCCAACTTCTTAAATTGATTCTAGCGATAAACAAAACTAACTTAGCATGATTCCTTTCGAGTGGCTATTCTTCTGATTATTTTTTCGTCTTTAAAATCACTTGAACTCAGTTTTGTGACACGTAGTTTCGCAAACGCACAGGTGTGCGCCCCGGCTTTGTTTATCAGATGCCGCTCCCCGACATTCTACATTCACATTTAAATGGCGTCTTTTTATGAAAACAAACCCCGCTGGAACTAAGGAAGTGCGTGGGACTACGAGTAGTACCTAGAAAACCATATTAATAGTCGCCGCACTGATGGCAACTTAATCGGTCGGCAAGACTTTTCTATATTCTTCCTGTCAATTATTCAGACGAAAACTAACTCATTATCGAGGGAGCAGAAATTCTAATAGTTTTCTTGTACTAATGATTATGGTTCTTAATGTAGCGAAAAGACTGTTCAGATGATATCCGTGTGATTAATTATAATTATCAAGCTGGCAGAAATTCTAATAGATTTTTCGTACTAATGATTATGGTTCTTAATGAAACGAAAAGACTGTTCGGATGATGTTTACTGTAAATATCATATGGTGGTTGATTATGATTATCAAGCTAGAAGAAATTCTAATAGATCTCTCGTACTAATGAGTAAGAATCTTCGTGTAACGAAAAGTCTGTTCAGATAATGTGTACTTTATATAGCTTGTAGAGGTTAGGAGACCATTCATTTGTTAAGGGAATTTAAGGGAGCACACCCACAAAATAATTAGCTAAATACAAAGTTTATTGAAACAAAATTATCCTGTTTTAATGGGGGCACTTAAAAAATTCATGCTGCGGAGGTTTAATATATTTCTTTACTTCCAATTAACAAAATTCCACTACCCTCCCCCTCCACCCTCAAATTCCCGTACAAAATGAACTATTCCTACTATATAGTGTTCGTCCTCCTCATACTTGGGTAGCTGAGTGTCAGCTGGGTGTAAAGAACAGGTAAAACACCGTGAGCAACGGCATAAATGGTTTCAACCAATTCGTTTGAACATAGACTTGAACGCGTTTAAAAAATTATCTTCAAAATAAATAGCATTGATAATGTGGAGAATATGGCTTCCCACGCATGTACGATAGCTAGAATTATTAAAGATTGGTATGAAGATTTACCAAGAAGCCAATATAGACAACTGAACACTAGRAAAAAAAGGTATCGCGCTTTTGTTCTTGAGATATCTTGAGCTAGTATGTCTCCTAAATATGGCTTTAACAAAATCTTTTGACTCTTTTTAGGTATGCTTGAATAGAATCTGATAAATAAGTGATAAAAAAGTGGTTTTAATTTGGAAATGAAAGTCATGTTTATCGCAGATTTTCTATCGTTTATGATTCAGGCTTTCAGTCGTCAAGATTATTTATCGTTTAGTGATCTCATTATTCAAATCTTTCTTTCGCCCACCTCAAATTGGTGCAATTTGTTCAGTAATGCGATCGGAATTTTAGTTGCGCAATGCAAGTTGTAAGATCAACTGTATTGGTTCTTTTCCTTTGAAAATGATTTATTTTTTTAAAATTCAAATTAGTTTATCTATCGTTACGAAAACTCTTGATTCCTAGCGATCACTGGGAGTGCAATTGTTATCTTCTTTTCTGTCAACGAGAAAATGCCGCAAAGTAGGCAAGTTTGAATCCAGTAAAGAACTAGGCCCGTAGCTCAATCCCTAGTGACCTCACACACTTGTTTAGACATCTATCTTTGATCAGAGTATCCATAAGACCGTGAGCTGTGATGAAGAGAGGGGGCGAGGTGTCCAAAGTCAGCTAGGAAGACCAACAACTAGCTGAAGCAAATAACGGGAATGTAAAGTGTAACCTGCACACTTACATAGTCTTTTTGACTACCACCCTTCGATAACTTTTTTCTTTCAAATATGTCACGTAATCTTCTCCGTTGCCCACCCATTCACATGTTCGTGCTCAGCTATTTAGTAGAGTTCGTTCTTGAGTATGTCATGATATTCATTTAAGCGGAAGCCTTTCTTTGTAATACTTCATAAACTGATCTCTCCGGATATTAAAAACTACTAACGATTTTTCGCCCCGAAGGGTTTCGCTTTTCCTTCCTTATCAGTTAAGCAATGAGAATCAATTGAACGTTACCCATCTTATTTCATTTTTTCGAGCATTTTTTCTTCCTTTCACTTGTTAGGGAAATTGCAGATCTTCCCACTTTTTGTCCCATTTCATTTTACTATTCATCTACCTTTGTAATGATATATTTCTCTATTTTGAATGCTCTTTATTTCGTATTTTTTTATTCATTTTTTATTTCATTTCTTTCTTTCACGTGTTACAAAAATCCCATATTTTATCTTATACAGTTTTCTTTTTTTTTTTTCTTTTCCATTGTATTTAACAATTCTTAATTGTTTTCCATTGCTAGATTTTTCTATCTTAGTCTTACCCTGAATGCCCTGTTCGGTATCCAATACCAACGACATGACTTGTTAAATACGTGAATACCAATTAGGACCTCGGTGATTATGGATATCGTGTCTTTTGCCTCGGAAAACTAAATCTTTTTGCAATTACGGTTCTTCTTGATCTCAAACAAGTTTAATAAAATTATTAAACAAAACGATTTATTGTAATTTGGTAACAGCACGACAGTTTTGTTTGAATTGTTTAACGGTACTCATCAGAGGTTGAAATGCACTGAGGTGGAATGAATCGAAAACAGAAATTACGTAATATGTTAATAATAGCTAAAATAATTACCTGGTTTAAGATAGGATTTAGAAATTAATACTAATAAAAACGGAATTATTCCTCTGACTTTTATTCCCTAATTTCATAATTTTTTTAATAAAGACTTCTAGAAGTGTTTGTCTCTTGGTAAGTATTTAGAAAGTGGGCTCTAAAATGTACATATATGGTGTGGTGAAGCTTGCTTCCCACGGTCAGTCGTTCCCAATACGGCCTGTCCAAATATCGCTTGGACAACGTCACACTTAATACCTGAGGAAAACCAAAGCTCATGGAATGAACAGAACTGTAAGTATCCAATCACATCCTGACTTGGTACGTCAATCAAACCCGGTACTTTTAGTTTTCGATTTCTAACACCGGTTTTTTCGTGATATTTATTAGTATCGATTTTATGAAGTTAAAATAACCTCGGTATGATTATTTAGATCAAGGTTCGCCGAACTTGATTTTTGTATAATACTGGTACATGTTTTGGGGTATCGTGAAGTGCGGTATTTCAATACGGATTATAGTCTTTAGCCCCCATAATCATCTGATTGACTTATTGTCAATATTACATCAAAGAAACTTACTCACTCAAAGATCTCACAAACCCTACTTTTAATATCTGTAAGGACGCATTTGGTTAGATTCTAATAACATTTATAAACCTTCATTCGAACGTGTTTCTCATCTGTTTCTGTGTCGTCTGTAGGGTAGATACGTAAACCTGACTTGTAGATTTTAGGAACAGTATTTTCAGGCTTCAGAAGCTGTTTATAGGGATTCCATTATGCTGATGTCACGGTGCCGCAATACACTATAAATATTTAACACTACTATCTCTTGTCACGTTCCCAAAATTGGTTTATTGAAATCACTATTATATCTGTTGAAGAATTTATCTTGTTTTGGTCTAGTTGTTCTTCATACATGTTGTATAGGGTTCCAATAGTCGATGATAAGTTAGACTAGAATCCTTAGTGTTATAAAATGGAAATTACTCGACACATTCATCTCTTCAATCAATCTGGATTATGCTGTGTTGGACAGTGAATGTTTTCTCAAGGTGAGCCTTTCCTTATTACACTCAAATTACCAACCTTTCCAATAATTTTTACAAGCATATATTGTGTTGATCGATGCTGCCAAGGTTCATTTTCAAGACCGTCACAAAATGTTTCGATTTCAAATTATTCATGCATAAAGACCACAACAGATATTTTAAATTTAGCTTCTTGACTTACTGATTTGCTTGATATTCAGTCACCTGTACAATCTATTGGTGTACGAGAGTTTATTTTCTACGCACTACAATACCTGTAGATACTCCTAGCTTGAGAAACCTTTAAAAAATATTGTTGTAATGGTTTACGGGTTCTCAGTCTGATCAGCTGTAGGGAATAAATGTCCAAGTAGATGTACATTAACCTAGGTGTTAGGTAAAATAGATTTTCCTTAAAAACTATTATCCATTTATGACTTTTTTATCTATTTTTCTTCCTTTTTATTTTATTTCATTTTGTCGTTTTTGAATCGTAAATTTATTTTGTTATATTTTATGATATTTATTTTCAATTATTATTTTTTTATTTTTTGGTTGATCGTTATCAATAGTTTCCTTTGCAGGGCTCTACTTCAATTATTTTCAATTTGTTTGGTAAATGCTTAACCTCTCAAACTGCAAAACATGAAATATTAAAGCTACAAAATCTTAGTCTTCGTTCATTAATATTTTGATCATCAACCATTCTGGCTAATTGAAGTTCTGCACTCGCTGCTTTTTTTAAAATCCCGGTGGAAATGACTGCAATTTCATATTAATAACATAAAAAAATGAAGAATGTTTTTCGTTATTTTGATAAAAATATTTCTATTCTATTTTAGTTTTTTTCGTTTTTTAATTTTGGATTTTTTATTTCTTTTCTTAAGAATGAGTCAGTGATTATTAATAAATGGTAATGATTATAAATATCTAAAGGCAACGCAACAACAACATAGTGACGGCAACGTGACGTAAACTTTTTAAGCGTGACAATATAATTTAGAAGTAGTGTCTGACCGGAAGTAAATAAAAACCGGAAGTTTGTGGTTTGACTATTATCAAACCGCAATTTCATTTCTCTACTCGTGAGTTTGAAATACTGTTTTGCAAATTGGATATTTTCTTTATCGACGAGATTATCGATGTCATCTTTCTTTCTTACTGAATTGCTTTAAAAATGTACGGCTGTTGTACATAATTTAAGGGGTACGTCTGGACCCGATTGGTGGCAATCTCTTGTTTTTTTATTATGAATATTTGAGCGTCTTATCGAGTCAAACAAAGCTCTTTTTCTCAACCGCCGATTTGAAAACAAAACTCGTTTGAGTGTGGATTCTCTTCAGTGTGATGGCGGCGTGTTGCGAAAGCCAACGGTGAGTCCAGTTTTCCAGCAATGATTTGATAACTAAGGACATTTTTCTTTTATCCCTACTCATTTTCTGCCGTTCTGTTTCTTATCATCTTAAGACGAAAGAATAACGTTTGAAAATCACGGCAATCCATTGACTAGCATCATTCATTACAATGGGTTTGACTTCCGAGAAATAACCCATAGTTTTAGCGCGCTAAGCGTCCAGGATAAAGGAGTCAGTGAGGAAGAACACTTTAGTGAGAGGAACATGTCTTTTACTCTTGAATAATGCCTTTAATACCCTCTTATTGTAAAGGAAAAGCTTTTAAGCAATGATTGCTTGACAGTCAGAGCAGTTTGTTATTATTTTACACAATGTGGCACGACTTGTATCATGATGGGAAATCAAAATATGATATGACGTCAATCAATAACACAGGGTGACCATATGTGGAAAGAATATCCAGATTCTTGCTTATATTCTCTCTCTTTTTGTTCTTTCGTTTTCTCTCTCTTTTTCTCTTTTACTTAATTTTCTTTTTCATTTTTTTATTTCTTTCGTTTCTTATCGTTTCATTCTATTTCTATTCCATTCTATACTTAGTCCAGACACACACAAGAGGTTTTATATCAGACGGGTTTCATCTGATATAATCACCCAACACCTGGCTAATGCCGGACACTACAAACGTATGGTAACCGACGTCATGTTTCTGATAACATCCAGACTAGAAAATCACTATAAATGGCTATTTGTAACTTTGTGCCAGACACGAATGATATGTCCTCCGCGAACCTCGTAAACGTCACAGCTAAGTCTTATGAAGAGTACTGATATGAATTACAAATGTATGTTACTGTGGTTTTCGATATCAGTCTGCGAACTCCGACATTTTAATGGCTTGTCGTGAAATTGGTTTTTCACTGCCACCAATCAAGAATGTAAAAGGTACCTACTGATTATTTTTGATTGACGGCAGCGAAAAAATCAAATTTCAGCGCGCAGCTCGCAATTAAACTACCAAGATCGCAGTAAGTAATGGCGTCAGTTTAGCATATCAGTGGCACTGAAGATCGAGTGATCGATTAGAAACTAAAAAATATATGACTTTTTGTAAGTTTAATATGATTGTGATTGCAAAGGCATGGCAGCCATGTTGGTGTTGGCTGTATCTGTGCACCAGCATGGCGGTCATGACGTCATGTGGAAAGCACAAGGATTTTTGAGAAGGGAGTGGCTACACGTGAGGTAAGAACTGGAATTAAGCTTAATGTTTATTTGTATTCTTATTTCAGGTACCTCACTCAACGTGAGCAAAAGTTAATGCGTCGTCGAGACGAAGCTGAAGAGCTACTGGCATCACAACGGAAACTGATCGAGTGGGAGAGACGTCTGGATGAAGAGGAGAGTAAAGTTTGTAACTTGATTAACGAAGCTTTGAATCTGAGTCGCGATAATAGAGGAAAAAAGTCCAAGAGAACAAGTAAAGCCATTGAAAGCGACGACGGTAGAGGTGAGAATGCAAACAAAATAAAGTCTTGTGTACTGAAGAGGAAAAAGCGCAAATGCAGACACAGGTTTAATAGCCGGTTTTGAATTAGAAACCCTTACGCAAGGAAAAGTTTTCTATTCCTGGTGCTTGTGACACCTTTGAAAACCAAGCTTTAAAAAATGCACCTTGGTGCAAATGAACGAGTGCTAAAAGACAAGCCATATGTACTCGAAAAAATGGTATATTATAGATATCAAAAGCGGCATAAATTAATCCTTATATATAGAATACAACAGACGCCTAGAGCCTACTAGATCCACGTATAAAGAAACCAGGATTTGTAATATACTTAACCAATGGTATATTTTCTATAACCTTCAGCTAAGGCCCCGTCATTGAATCACACGACCACACCCACCACACCCTCAGCTTCCCCAAGTAAGAGTGAACGGATCAGCAGCCGTCAGCCATCTGAGTACGTCAAATTCCCAACAGGACAGCAAACAAAGTCCGAACAAAACGCGAACGAGAGCTCTATCGCCGAAGACCTCCCGAGCATGGCACCTGACAGGTCACGTGAGAGCTCCATCGCCGAAGACATCCCGAGCACAGCACCTGACAGGTCGCGTGAGAGCTCCATTGCTGAAGACATCCCGAGCACGGCACCTGATAGGTCACGCGAGAGCTCTATTCCTGAAATTGATATCAAGTCCAAAGATAGTTCAGTGACTGGTGAATACACGAATGATACGTTTGAATCGATTGATAGTACAATAACGCGTTCCCACTCCACCCCCGTCAGGATCATCTCGTCACCCAAGACCCCTTCAATCAAGTCTATCAGTCGACGATCCTCTAAGTACGAAGAGAATAAAAGCGAAGAGGATGCTTCTATGACTGGTGAGTTTTCCTACTTAGAAAATCACAGCTGGAAATTAGTATTACGCGCTTAGTGTGAATATGGCTCAGAAAACAGTCAGGACGTCAGAGGTGCTTTAGTTTGCATACAAGTGTATTTTGCAGTGGATTTAAAAAAGAATAAACATTTATTATACACGCACGACCTTTCGGGCTGAATATGTGAATTTCTTGATTTTTGCGGGTCAGTTTCCAATCTGCGCACAATAGTAAGGAAAGAGTTTGAAGCCTTGAAAATCCGACCTTGGTCACAAACAATTCTCTTGGTCGTACACTGTAGGTTCACCAGTTCTCCAACAGCGACCACTTACAGCACCAGACACGTAATTCCCTTCATTTGCAAATGGTGATCGCTTAAGTGCCTTCTAAGTTCTTTAACTGATTGTATTTACTGCTGCCTTGTTTTCCAGAAGCGTCGGATCATAGTGATGTAGAAAGCCGAGTACGACAGTTGAAGGAGCAACTAGAACAAAGAAAACGAGAAGCAAAACGACTGTATCACGAACGAAAACGACAGCGGCGCGCCATGTTGTTGGAACAAGAAGAAACACTAAGAAAAGAACTCCAGGTAAAGTAAACTTCATTTTCTCTTGAAAATATTCAAATCGTTAGGGAAATAATGTTAGAAACTATCGTCAAAACCATGATAAAAAAACTGACGGTATCAGAAAATTGGATTTTTTAATTTCTATTGAGATTTTTCGTAAATCACTTGGTTGTTTTCGCACAAGACCAAGGTGTTTTTATGTCAGCCGCTAACATTGATTAGCAGTGTCTAGAGTCTAGAGTCCAATGATTAGAGAAACGGAGCGACGTGAGCTGTGCCGTTAAATAATGCGTTTTCGTGCGCTTAAGGACGTCATCGTCATGTTTTTATGTTGTGATAACAACGTATGGCTTAAACATGGCGATGCGCGTATTAAACTGAGTGTTCTTGTGTCTCTAATGGTCATATACTTATTTTCTTTCCAGGCTGTTGAACGTGTGATTGAAAAAACGAAAGCCGAACTGGACGAACCCACTCCTACCGAACCACAGGCTACCCAACAAGGCAGAACGTTATCCCAGCCAAGTTCAAGAGCATTAAGTATCACTGTTGAACACGACGCAAAACCTTCATCGACCCCAGAGGAAACAAAACGTGAAGAGGACTCGGACAAGGTCGATAGTGAAGGTAGCTATACTCCACCCGGTGAGACATCGAGAAATGAGGAGGAAGGATCGCATGACAAGACACCGAGTGAGCACGAGGTGTACGCAGAAGATAAAGATTCAGTGCCAGCAGACACTAGTGAAGGCTTACTTAAGAATCACTACTCTCTGGACAGCAAATCATTGGCTAAGACCATTAGTGACGTCAAAGACCTTGATATCAGTGATCGATCTGCGTCCGTGGTTGAGGATCTGTCTAACCACACCCTGCGCTCTTTTACAGAAGAGATAGAAGACGATGCCAAGACGGCTGAGGACATCTCTATCAGCGAGACAAGCGAGATTCAGACCATCTCTAATAAAGCTGACCTTAAGTCATGTGAATCTGCAGCAATATCTGAACAAGGGTCTGTTCCAGAGGTTCTGTCAGCCAGGTCTCCTGAAGCACAACCAGAAGATACAAGTGATCGTTCCAAAGCTGCCTCGGAAAAGGGCTACAGTGACACCTTTGAGAGCGAGCACAAAGATGATGAAAAAACTGAAGAAGATATAAGCGAACAGATCAGTATTGAGGAAGAAGAGGAAGAAGTGAAGTCCAGGGATGCTGGTAGTGAAGAGATCGAGAAGTCAAAGGATAACAAGGATGATTTGTTTGGAGTGGAAGCAAAAGAGAGAGAAAAGACTCAAGAGGAGGAGGACGAGGTCGGTAGTGAAGGTACAATCACCGAGGACGTACCAGAAGAAATCCTCGACGACTCCAAGGATATACCAGAAAACATCCTCAAGGACTCCCTGAAAGACGATGTAAAGAGACAGGCTAGTCTTGATGATAAATTAAATCTTGCTGTAGATGGACCTTCGTCACCTCAGCCATCTTATTCTGAAGATTTCGAACCTTCAGTTGGTGAAGACGAAAATAATAAAGACCATCTCTTGGCAGAGAATATTGCTGGGCCGTCTTACTCCGCAGACTTTGAGCCATCCGAGACTCAGAAATCCAAACCAGACGACACGTTGGGTGTTGAAGAAAGATCCCTTAAAAGTTCAAGTAGTTATTCACCTGATTTTGAAGAGTCGTCTTCCGAAGGCAAAGATGAGCTGTCACCCAAGGAATCTCACGAGGTACCCAAGGAATCCTACGAGGTACCCAAGGAATCCTACGAGGTACCCAAGGAATCTTACGAGGTACCCAAGGAATCCTACGAGGTACCCAAGGAATCCTATTTGGTGCCAACGCTTAATGTAAGCGAGGCTACAGATGAAGACAGTATAGCAGAAGATCTTCCAGAAGAAGACCAGTCGCTAGAGTCTGGTTCGTTAAGTGATGCTAGTGATGACGTTATCCCTCGCTTCTTTGTTTCTGAAGACAAAAAACAGGCTTCGATCGACAACAAGGTTGAAGAAAAGACTAAGCAGCAACAACAAGACGAGGAAAAGAAGGAACTACAAACACTGCAAGCAGATAAAATATCGAATGAACTGTCGAACATGTTGATTAATGACGCTGTGACTTACGTCACAGGTTTGTACGATAGACATCAGGAACCCAACATAGAAGAAGTCAGGGGGAAAGAAGCAGTTGAATCCAAAGATAATGAAGATGGGAAGGGCGTGCTTGATGAAGAAAAAAAGGCTAGCATATGGCCTGAAGAGACCGGAGAGATATCAGAAGCAGATAATGTATCGATATCTGAACGTCTATCATTCTCAGATGATGAAGATTCCATGCCTGGGCTAGACTTGAAACCTACTATCGATACTTTGAAGGAGAAGACCGAGGCACCTGTTGTGAAGGATGGCGGGCAAGAACCTGTCAAACCTGTTGTAGTGGACAAACAAGTGCAAAGCGAAGGTGTGATCACGAAGCTGTCAGAGGACCTACTTAAGGAAGCTGCATCACAGATGATTACATTAATGCGCAAGAAACAGGAAAAGTTGAAACTAACGGAACAAATCGAAAAGGATGAGAAGGATGAAAAGAAAAGGGAAAAGGAAACCCGTGAAGGAACTGTTCATAGTCCAGAGCTCAGCCCACAACGAGGGCTTGATAAGTTTATGGCCGTTCATCGATTTTCAGATGGCGTCCCCAAGCATCAGAGTCCACCAGGAAGCCCAACTAAAGACACCGCAGCCTTTGATGGTAACGAACTGGCAGATAAACTTAGCCAGTTAAAGTTACTACATGATGAGCTGGGTGATCAACTTGGTGATGATGACGACGAAGATAATGATTTTGTCGTCTCGAATAAACCGCTTGAGTTGCCGTCCGATAAAGAGGTTTATGAACCTCCACGCGGTCAGACTATACCTATGGTTGTACCCCATGACTGTTCCGAGGTCAAGGAGATGATTTTTTCTTCTCTATTGACGTTCTACAACCGCAAGAAGGCGGGAAGGTCTTTAGGTAACGTCACTCCACCACCAGAGTTCTCTGAGACTAATGTCGACGATAACGATACTGATCGAAGAATCCAACAAGTGTATCGTCGACAGATATTTGATTTGACTGGAGAAGTTTTCCGGGATGTTCTGAACGAGGAGTCCCCACCCTCCCATCCCTCATGGATGAAACCAAGACGCAGAAGAAAGAATCGTTTCTACCACAGTCTCTCCCCCATGATGAATGAACATGACTATCTACCAGTCGTGCAGCAACGAGTTCTTGATTTAGTTGGTTTAGGCAATGAAAGACCAAGTCTCGAATCCCTACGCCGCAAAACGCCTTTAAAAATTGGCAAAAAGGACGCTGTGGACGCTATTTTGATTCAAGAACTGCGGGAGGAAGAACCGCAGTGGATTGACTATGATGATGATGAACTAGCTGTGAAATTCCAAGTTGCTGATGCTATCTTTGATTCGTTGTTATCCGAGACAGTTATGGTAATGAATGCTGTCCAGAGAAGAAAGGATTCCAGAAGAGACATTGGCAGCTGACAGTGAATGACGTTTTATCTACGTCGTTGTCTGTGATATTTATTTAGGAGGTTGTTATGCATAACAAGGTTATTCCTTGAGTCGTTTTCTTATAAGCCACCAATTTTCTTGAGCACCGCCTTTTAAAGGCTTAAATAGTCTGCTATGTCACAGTACTACTATGACTTTAGGGTGCATGTACAAGTTGCGACAACTGCAAAGTTCCATGAAAAAGGACATTTTGTGGACATTAATATTTTGTAATGACTTTAACAATTTGGTAGGGTGTAATAATGAATCTATGAATATTTGCTGTACATAAGAAGCTGCACTTTATTTTTGCTTTGTAAACAAAAATATAACAAAATAGTAATATATGAAAGCGTGAATTAAATGGTATGTTATTTCATTTGGTTTCTTATTTTGTGCTTTATTTAAAAATTGAAGACATGGGGAAACCCAGCGATGATCATCACTTGTCATCCAATCTTGTACACAGAGCCCACCTTTCTCTCTGTAGGACCAAGCTTGATGCTGACCAAGAGAAATGTTGGCCTGCCATCCTTTTGGGTAGGATGCCAATGTGGGAGGGCAATCCTATGTTAAAGGTTCTAGAATGCTTCTCATTTCTTTTGGACATTTTCTGACAAGTTTCCCAACACTTTTACCAGGGGTAAAAATAGGGCAACATGAAGAAAACAGCTGATGTCAAATGTTCATAGAAATATGTTGTAAATATACAATGCCAAGAAAACAAAATACAATAGATTTGAGAAAAATTTATTACACAAAATGATTGACAAGTAGGTTTCCCCATTTCAATAATGTTCATTATTTACAGTTTTGATTGGCTATGAACATGACTCTTGTCCCAGTGTCACTCCCCTCCTGAACTACAATAATGGTCCGAGTATAAGGTCATAAATTTCGTTATTAAGTTCTGGACACAGTTCCTATTAACTATGGACCAAAAGAAGATGGATGACGGCAAAAACTGAATGCTGGTTGCCAACCTTTCCAATAGAAGACTTTCATTATGTCATCATTTACTACCACTACAAGGATCCCTAGTACACTTTTTTTTGTTCAGTTAATTAGGACCAATAAATTGTCTTGCTATTCTCAAAAGGGAATAGATTCATTAAAATACGAGAAAATTTGCAAAGCATTTTGGCAGTGGTAGTAAAATGATGCCATCATGCAAACAACCTATTAGTCCAGTCATTCAAGGATATGATGACATGTGAATATCAATCTAGATCCATCTTCTCCTTTCCTTTAGGTTCTTTCTTTGCAGTCTTTGTTTCTTTCTTCTCTTCAACTAAAACCCACAAACAAAGATATTAGCCATTGGGCTTCCTGAGGTTTGGATGTTCACAGGGAACCCAATTTTAAAGAAAAACCTGTCAGACAATTACCCTATGGAAGATAAGACATGACCTCCTCTGCAGATGTCTCTGCTTTGGGGGTTTTGACATTGATACTTTGTGGGTTTCCTGTGGTGTGTAAAGTGATGTGAAATCACACAAGGATCCCAAGCACCAACAAAAGTAAAAGCAATGATGCCTGTTGAGGAGACTCTTAGGCTCATGTCAAATGTCGAACTTCACATGAGCTGAACCTAATGACATCAAAGAAGACCACCTTGTTATCCATTTTTTCAATTAGGTTTGGCTCATGTGAAGTTTGACGTTTGACCTGAGCCTTAGAGGCGGTGTTACAGTCAAATGGATGGGAATTGGCAGGAAATGGAATAGAGGGAGACAGGGGGGTTGCAACATTTTACCTGGTTTTTCTAATTCCATTGATTGCTTCTGTTTCTCTTCTCTCTTGATTTCCTTCAACAACAGTCGTTTCTTCTTTCCTGACAGGGTTATGTTTGCATATGGGTTGGTTCTAAAAGAAGAGTTGAAAAATGAAAAAAATGAATGATAAACATCCTACTCTCCAACAATGGAAAAGCCTTGTGGGTTAGAACAGAATGCAATATCTCAAAAGGTGGAGGTTTAGTAATTTAATTCCTCAATTGAAAAACGTCCAACATATTAATATCAGGAACTTTAATAATGGATAGTTGTTGGTAAGACAACCCCTCCCCCTAAAAATTATACTTAATATTAAGTATGTATCTATGTAGACTATCCCCTTCATCTAAGACTTCTTTTCAAGGCCTTACTTGGTCTTCCTCAGTATGTGAGTTGTTGTTAGACTATCTACAACTCGTCCTTCTTTAGCTCTAGTTTGTTTCTTCTTTTGTTGCTTTTTTATTCTTCCAGCTCTCTTTAAATTCTTCTGCAGGGCCTAGAAATAGAGCATTCAATGATATATCACAACTAAGATAATTTCATAACACAGTAATATTGATAAATGAAGTCAGATAATGGAGAGAAAAAATCATGATTGGCAACGTTATTTCATCATAAGAGTAATTAGCTCTGACTGAGCAAAAAATGACAGATTAAACGTCTATTTACCGATCGTGGCCGATTATACACGTTCCCACCTGTCATTACAAGCAAAGGTACACAGATCCAAGAAAAAAATACTTCTAAAAGGTAAGAATCTCTTATAATCTTTCTTGAATCTTGTTGTTTTTGGAATCAAAACACGTGTTTGGAATCGACCCCAGGCTTCCTTGTCCATCACACGTCCAGCATGGCGGACGAGATGTAGATCAAAATACTTCCTGTATTTTAATCTGTGAAATGTTGCAATCGTTTACATTTATCAATAACTTCAGGATTTTAAAACGATCTCATAATCTCTTTAAAAGAATCTCACCTGCTTATAATTTTCACTTGAATCAAATAAGGACAATTTTCTACACAAATAGTAAAGAATCCTCCAGTAGAAAGAATTTGTGTCTAGGAAAGAAGCAGCTTTTAGGAAGAGAAATGGCGAGCGATGGGAAATATCTCGATGCTCACATCATTGCCGTCTGTCAAATGACATCCAAGAATGATGTACACGCTAATTTTAGGACTTGTAAAGATTTGATTGAGAGAGCAAAAGCAAGAAGAGCAAAGGTTAGTGGACTTCAAGTATTATGCACTATGAACCAGTGGAACACTGTCTTGTTCTCTGCTAAATGTTTTGGCAGTATTGTTATCATCATCATCATCATCATCATCACCACCACTCTACCATCATATCATCACATCATCATCATCATCATCAACATCACCACCACCACCCTACCATTATATCATATCATCACCACTATCATCATCACCATCACCACCACCCTACCATCGTGTCATCACCATCATCATCATGATCGTCATTATTGGTATCAATCAGCTGAATGAATTCATTGCCAGCCTTTAAATGACAGTTAAATACTACCTGTCATGTGTTAGCTATCAAAACTGCAAGTTGTATAGATTGGCTTATTTCATTTAATTAATAGCATTATTAAATTTAGTAGAAGAAGAAATTATGTTAATTTGCGATGTATACTTTTGGGCTTGTTGTATACCAAGCCCAAAATGCACTATGAGTGATGTGAATGCAATCAGTGAAAGCTCACAATAATATGAAATTTTGCAAAACTTTGTCTACAGGTTTTTTCAGCATATTTCTTCTGTGTTGACATTATTTAAGTATATGAATATAATACTTGTCAAGCTTAGGGCCCTTTCCATTAAGTCAAACTGATTAATCTGAGCTGTGAGTTCTAAAATGATGTTAGTTCTTAGAGCTGGACTAATGCAGCATTAACCAGTTCAAATCTGATAGGGAAGCATGGGTGGTGTAGCATTGAGAGCGCTCACCTCTTCCGGGAGGGGGGGGAATTCGGGAAAAAAGTACCGGGAATGCTTGTCGTATCTCTTAGGGGTGAAAATTCTCTCTTTTAGGGTGTTAAATGCGAAAAATCAGCATTTTCTGGTATGTCTTAGGGTGTCGGAAAAGGAGAGAAGCGTGCATCAATATGGCTTATCCTAGGCGCTTTTTATATGAAATTTAATACTATTTGTTGTGGTATCTCTTAGGGGTTAAAAATCATTCAGCCACGCCCTTTTTTAAAGACTTCCGGTATCTTTTAGAGGTCTTTTTGAAAATTTCCGACGAGCATCCCCGGTACTTTTTTCCCAGAGTCCCCCCCGGGTCACCTCTCACCAATGCGACCTGGGTTCAAGTCTTGACAAGCTCAGTGTTACATGTGAGTTGTTTTGTTTGTTGGTTCTCTCCTGTGCTTCTGGGTTTTCCGGGTTCTCCGGCTTTCCTCTCTCCATAAAGATCAACTTCTAAATTCCAATTGAAATCCAGTGGAAGAAGAACTTGTGATTGCTTGCGAACAGTGATGGTGAACCTTTTGCATGTTAACTTTGATTGAATAACACCCCTAGGAGGAGGCAAGAGGGGTTGATTTGTGTTAATGTAAGGTGCAATAAGGCAATTCAATGACTTAGGAATACTACCCTTTAATGCAGTCAAATTGTAATATTCACCTCAACAAACTGTAGTTAAATTGCTAATTTATCTTTATTTTAACTAAGTTTGTCATTTTAAGGAATTTTCAAGTTGGAAAATCCGGAATCGTGTCCTGGAATGGCCCATGGATTGGACTTCGGTTAAGTGGATCTCCGGATCGAAACACTTTAAAAGCTGCTTTTCTTTGCTCAAATTCTATGGGTATATGTTAAGTACCCATTAAAACATATTTTGGCAAAGAAATTAAGTTGATTAACTGATTTTATTGCAAAATCCAGTTTACCAGTGTTCAGTCCAAGTTCCTATTCCAGTCCCATGCTTCCATGTTTTTAATAATTATTAATATTAGGATTGGCTATTTATATATCTTGATTCAACCTCAGAGCTTAGATTTGACATTTTCCAAAATACTCCTAAAAGATATGTTTTTATAAATGTTTATAGATTCCCTGAAAACAGCACACAGAAATGATAATATAGTAAAATTTAAAAAAATACACCCCAAATGATACAACGAGTTTCCCTGATACTTTTACCCAGGAGTGCAACCCCCTCACTGCCTGTGGTGTTATTGTCACATTACCAAACCTGGTCACATGCTTTCTGTTTTTTACACTCTCAAGACTTTTTCTACCTAATTTTTAGATGGTATTTTTACCAGAAGCATATGATTACCTGGGTGAGACTAAACAAGAGTCACTGGCCATGGCTCAAAGCATCAAAGGGCCAAGAATGAAGGAGATGTGTCAGTTAGCCAAGGAAAATGATATTTGGTTATCATTGGGTGGGTTCCATAACAAGGTAATACCATGACCTGCTTATGTGATAATATGAGGGAAAGGTCTAGGGGGAGGAGCCAAAGGGGACGTCATTCCATCCCTCCATCCCTGAAGAGATGTGTCAGTTAGCCAAGAATAATGATATTTGGTTAATTTGACTTATCTATTTAAGGGGTGAAATGCTGTTAAAAAAATGTTAGGTTAAACCAAATAGTAGCTGACCTTCATCCGTACCCACCATGCCTACCATGCCCACTCTCACCCTCACTATTGTATTATGGATCAACAGAAAAATAATGCATATAAAAATCAAAGATCAATAACTAACAGAATGGACTGTTTTTCATTTTAGAGCACAGACGATGAAAACCGTATATCTAACACTCACGTGATAGTAGACAACAATGGTGAAATCGTCTCCACATATGATAAAGCTCACTTGTTTGATGTTGACATAAAAGATGGCCCCAAACTGAAAGAAAGTGCTAACTGCATTCCTGGGAATGAGATAGTTCCTCCTGTCACTACCCCTGTGGGGAAAGTTGGAATGGCAATTGTATCTTTTGCTTGTGTCATTTGATATTCAAATTATTGATTGTCCGTCAAATTAGTTTTGCTTAATATATCCTCATGTTCTTTACTTTAATGCCAGAAATTTAAAAGCATGTTGTCACTGAAATTAGGCCACCCAGAGTAAATGAGTCTCTAATCACGAAACGCAGCTGTAATTGGGGGAGTTAAAAATATCATTTCATTGTTTGGGCTATATTGATGAATTTTCATGTTTAAACTTCTTAACTAGTTTTAACAGTGTTATGACCTTCGATTTCCTGAGATGGCATTGTCTCTTGCTAAACAAGGCGCTGACATTCTTACTTTTCCATCTGCATTTACGTTCACAACAGGCACTGCTCATTGGGAGGTAAGCACAATGAAACATTTGGTTTTGGGCTTCCTTTGTAGGGCAACCTGTTGATACATGAAAGATCATAAACACTTATTTTTATTTGTACACTGATAGGTTCTTTTACGAAGCAGAGCAATAGAAACGCAATGCTATGTTGTTGCTGCTGCACAAATAGGACAAACTACAAGCAAAAGAAAGTGCTATGGACATGCTATGGTAATGGTCTCTTTCTTTTGTCTTCATCATCTATCATCCTCATTGCTAACATTCCTTATTACTAGATCATCATCATCAACATCATCCTCATCATCATCATCACCACCATCATCATCATTTTCACCATCAACGTCAACATCACCACCATCACCATCATTATCATCACCACCACCATCATCACCATCATCGTCATATACTACTTATGGGCCATTTTTATCAATTGTCTCATTCAGTAGCGCACTCACTGATGACCTACCTGTGTTTCTATTTACAGGTTGTGGATCCATGGGGTACTGTGATAGCACAGTGTCACGAAGAAACAGGTCTCTGTGTTGCTGAAATACATCACCAGTATATCAAACAAGTCCGTGAACAGATGCCGGTGTGGTCGCACCGTAGAACCGACCTGTACGGTGATCTTAAACCAAACCTATAAGGAGAAAAACTCCTACACTATTCGACCAATAGAAACAAGGAGCTTATTATAACCGACCTATGATGAATATACTATATATATGCTATGTATGATGTCCGACCGATAGAACCAACCCCAAAATAGAGACATCCTGAAAATTAATTTTTAAGCGTAAATTAACCAGCGAAAATAATTTTTAAATATAATATTCCTTCGGTAACTGCGTCACTTTTAACTATCAAAATAAAATTTATGTCTGTCAAACGAAACCCGTTGTAAAAATTTAGAAATATTATTAGAAAGATATATATGTTCCAATTTCATAATTCAAGACACTCCAAGATATTTTAATCTTTATTGTGCATAATGAAAATTTTTCAAATTTTCAAATTTACACCTTTATCCAGGGGTCGTTATTGAAGTTGGTTTTTGTACAACAGCTATCTCGGGTTCCAAGCATTTATCTTCAATCATTGTGAATCCATTCGCATCACAGTGCACTGTGGTACACTTATCATCACAGAATTGACTAGATAAATCTTGCCCTTGTAGATACAGCCACGAGATAATGTTTTCCCTTGGTTCTGGTTTAAGGTGGCCAGAATAACAAAGAGGACGATGTAAAGCCTCATGTTTGATTATGAAAACTCTGAGTTTAATGAAAAAATAAGAGAAAAATCCGTGAGAGAACAGTCATTGTAAACAGCGTATACCTACAATAAGGATTTCTCTCGTCCTTTTCATGTTCATCGATTTAAAAACTCATCTGCTAGTGTGTTTGTCATGATTACTATTATTTTTTATCTTTATTGATTAAATAAATAACTAACCGAAGACCATACTCCCAGACCCGAATGCTGAAGCGTCGTATGGCAGCGCAAAGCATTTACGGCTATGCCAGAGATTTCGACCCCAACACCGCTATCCCCGGGAGGAATTACAGTCTGATCAGGAAGCTCGGCAAAAGCCTAAGGGAGAGGTTAGTCGGCCCCTAGACCGTAGATGATTAACCCCTTGCTATGACCAGCATACCTAAATAATTGCTTGTGTCGCTGATGCCTTAGCCCGCATGACTACTCCTTTCCATGTGGGATACATTTTAAAACAATACCTGTGACGTATTTTACTCAACACGACGCAAGACAAACACGAATCGAGAGTGCGTTCTTTTTTCGTCTCCAAAATATTATAAGAGCTGGTTTCTAATCTTGAAGGGCAAGACGTTTCAAGACAAATCTCCGCTCGAGGATCATGCGCGAGCATTATTTGGGATTTTTCTGTTTGCGCATTGAGGTGATTTGGAGGTAGCTTTGGTAATGATGAATTGGTGCAAACAATCTTCATTATATTTGCTCTTATTCGACTGCGTTTTTTTTCACAACAAGAATGAACGAAAGTTTCATGATACGGAAGTTAAAAAAGACTCGATGTTTAGTTGAATAGAATAGGATTAAGTGATCAAACAAACAAAAATAATAAATGAATGAAACTCACTAATAAAAATCGGCTAAAATAAATAATAAAATAAATGATTTCAAAACTTATTCTGAAACATTTCTGTTGATGACGCATGAAGTACGTTGAAACCAACAACGGCAGCCACAGCTAAAACCTCCAAAGGTAACTCGGTATGGACGCACTATAGATGAGATTCCCCCCCCCCCCCCCCCAACCCAGGCAGAAAAAACCACGAGTCTCAAGACGCGACAAACGTTTTCCTCGTGCTTGCTTCCTGTATTAAATGGTTAAACACGGTTTCAGACAGTTTTATATGCTTCACTGTTTTATACACATATTTGTGTGTAGTGTGACCACGCTCCTTTGCGGTTTCTTGTCCACTACCAAAATTTGTCCAGGGAAGAAGGGAGAGGAGAGGGTACGCACAAAATACGAACGACTCCCTAGCGTTGCACACAAAATTTTCTCATGATTACAAACTGCAGCTCACAGATTGAATGGCCGGCAGTTTTTGATTTTCGTGGCAATCGAAAACAAATTCAAGCTATTATCGGACATTATTGCCCCACCTACCCCTCCCTACATATTTATGATGTGCGCCTAAGTGTTTTTGTTCAGCGGGATCCATGGAAGCGCCATTTTGTTTTGGAGTCGGGCCGAGAGGGCCCTGGGAACGAGGTTGGGTTATTACAAAAACCTCAAAATGGCGTCTGGACAAGGAAGCAAAAAGAAAGGACTAAGCTCTTTGATGGTCGGTCACTTGTTTAATAATGACTTAATTCATATATATTGATCATTTATACAGGGATTAATACTATCTGTTGGGTTTCATTTTAGTCTAATGACCCAGACAAGCCGGTCAAGGTGGACAAATGGGATGGAAACGCCGTGAAGAACGCTCTAGATGATCAAGCAAAAAAGGTGTGCAAACCTGGCTCAATTCTACTCTTTTACTAACTTTATGAAATATATTTAATTTATTCCTTTTACCTCAATTTTTTCTCCCTCATTATATTTGCAAAAAAGCTTAAAAACGAAGGTTAAAGTACCGAATTGTGTTAATCACATGTGCCAAGTTTAAGAACACGTCAGCGTATCTCATTTTTTATTGTTTGACCTTTTGAATTCCTGATTCCAATCCAAAAGTATATTTATTTGTTCTTATCCATCAGTGGTTCATAGTTATTTATTCAGACGCGAGGTTGGAACTATAAGAATTGTTTATTTTTGTTTGTTGCTGTTGTTCACAATTGATGTGTCACACCACGAACCACCCCAAAAAGAGAGGGGCTTAGATTGGGAAATATAAGAGACAAGTGGGAAAAAAAGGGGGGGGGCCAAGATTGGAAAGTATAAGAGGCTATAGTGTGGGAAAAGGTAAAGCACCCCTGTCTCCACTGTCCCTGTGTCAGGCATGAAAGAGCTCCTCGGAAAACTGGATATGAGAATTAAGATACATGTATTCACTTCTGGCATCTTACCAGCTGTTATCTTACCATTTTTTAAAGAATTTTCAAATAATTTACTGTTGGTGATAATGTTGTTTTTTTTTGTGTCCTCCCTCTCATCCCTCTCCCCTCAGCCCCTAATGTTCTAGACACCATACTTACCCTCTTTAGCTAGAGCTCTACTTTGTTCCTGGTAAATACAATGTATGTCCATGGGGGAGTTATGGATATTTTCTGGAATGACAGAATATACCCTCAACAGACCCTCCCCACCCCTTGGAAATTCCAATCCCCTACCCTGTGACAAGGTAAAAAAATTTTGAGACTTCATATTATCCCAAGTCCATTTTTTTGGTATAAACATAGGGGTATATAAGTTTTCAAGAATGTGCAAAATAATGAAGTTTGAGGAATCTATTTTTAACATCAAAAAGTGACATCTAAATGAGAGTGTTCTTCTGTTCTCAGGTGTTGACGGAAGGTTATGGCTACCAGGAAGATCACAGTGTAACAGATACTAGACTTGCTATTTGTACCGTCTCTGTTTTGTTTGCCTTAGGTGCCTTAGCATATGATTATCTGTACCCATTCCCAACCTCCAGACCTGTTCTTATCCTTTGTGTTGTTGCATATCCTTTGATGCTTCATATAAATAGCTTAGTCGGGGTGCACAAGTGTTGTAGCAGTGAGAGCACTAGCCTCTCATTATACACAATGCAACCAGAATTCAGTTTCCATACTCAGTGTTTTAATGTGAGGGTTTTTCTCTTGGTTCTCAGGTTTTTCTCACTCCTCAAAAATCAATTATTCGTAAATTCCATTTTGACTATCATTAGTCTTAGTAGTAATAAGCGTTGGCCATTTTGGTAATAAGCATTGGAAATTTTGGTTTTTGACAATCTTTTACCCTATTTGCAATGACAGGAAAAATCTGATGTGAGTCAATATCCCTGGCTTCTGTAATCAATGAAGCAATACTCCTAACTATCCTGCCCTCCCAAAATGTACATCTTTGTTTTAATTCAAAGCCGAGAGGGAAATATTTTTTCTCTTGTCTTTCCATAATTTATGGGAATTTTTTTCCTTAACATTGTTCACATATTTTGTACTGATGGGTATTCTAACCCTTTTTACAACACTAAAAGAGAAAAACTATATCTTGTTTGCTGTAGAGAAAGACGATGCTGGTGTTGTAAGTATTACTGCTCATAATTATAATTTATTTAACAATCATTCGCCGAAGGGAAGTCAATATTGGGGAATAATAACCGAAACAAAGTTGAGGTTATTATTCCCAATATTCACTGAGCCTGAGGTGAATAATTGTTTTAGTATAAATACACAGGTGATTCTTTCAACAACAAAAAAAGGAAAAAAAGAAGATAAAAGACACTTTTTTTCCGGTAGCAGCAACAAAGCGGCTGGCTGCCATTTTGGGTTATTGCTGGAGGTGATTATCGCTTGATAATCTGAGTTTCTCGACCAATCAGCGCGCGAGATTTTCAATAATCACCTGTGTATTTATACTAAATTCCATTATTTATGCACTGTTTTGCGTGTGAGTTCAATGGTGTGGTGTCTAATGACAAAATAAAATGTAGATGTAGACATGTGAAACTGATACACATTCTTTTGTTCAGGGCTAAAAGTGATATTTTCTCTGGTTTATTTCATCAGGGGCCAGACCATGTTTGGACATTGAGATCAGGCCTCAAGCGCTATGATCACATGTACACCTTGACAATGTCTTTTAAAGATGGAAACAGTAAAAAGGAAAGGGAACAGTCAATGATCAAGTACGTAATATTCTATGGGGGGGGGGGGGGGAGGAGGGGAGATTTTGTAAATGTATTGGTTATCCCCCACTCCTCTTATTATGTCCTCATACTTCTGGCCATGCACTGCTTAGTACCTATAATCAATCTTTTTTTTTTCTTGCCTCCTGAGTATGTGATTATGTTAGTGCTCAACAGTAACTTTTATACATAATAGGCAATGGGCTAGCAAGTCTATAAACCCAGTAGCTTAGCAGAGTAACCTGCTAGCCAACCAGATAATATTAGTAATCCAATAACCACACTAGCCTATGGAGGAGTCAGTCCTATTTTTTACTAGCCCAGAGCAAATATTTACTTGTCCCAGACTAGTGGACTAGCATTAGTGTCAATCACTGAAACACATTTTCTGTGATTGTGAATCCTTGCTAGATAAAATTCCCATCCATTGGTGAAGGAAGATGCATTTTCTTCATGATCCTTTATTCTCTCCCCTCAGGTCTGTTGCATGTTGGTTTGACACAGAAGGGACCTTGATCCCAGAACATTTTGATAAAGACGTCAAGGAACTTCGTAAGAGTCTTGGTGAAAAGAAAGAAAACTAAAATATAGTCTCATCCATGAACAAAACCTTTAGAAATTTACTTAAATATCTTAGAAACAAAGTTCCCTTCAAACTTCTTTTGTCCACATTATATGTTGAAGTTAGAGTCTTAGGCTGCATTTACACAGTACGAGACAAATTTTGAACTGGTCAAAATGTTGTACGTTTAGGGGTTCCATTCACACGGGACTAAGCTATTTGAACAAAAATTTGTTCCCTGTAAACAGAATGTATTTAATTTTTATACATTTAAATAGACAGTTCCGTGTTAACGTTAAGCACAGGTCAAATTTTTGATCGGTTAAAATTTAGTCCTGTACCGTGTAAATGCAGCTTAAGTGACCAGAAAGAAAACTAAATCTAGTCCAGTTCTTGAACAAGACCATTAGAAATTCACTTATTGAAGAAGAAAAAGTCTCATTGAAACTTGATTTGTCAACATTTATTTTGTTGGAACATACTATATTTAAATTGAACCTGTGTGTGATTGGATGATCAAGATTGCCAAAAAAACAATGGTAAACCATTTCATTGGCGAGTCTTGAGTTGGAGTATAGGTTAATGAATTTCTGTCAGTAACTTACTGAGAGTTTACATTTCTGTAGCTGATACTCTGCTCTATACCAGCATTGTTTGCCAGGCTTAAAATAATGGGCAGACATTGTACAATGCCCAGAATTGGAACTAGTCCAGTCTTTGCTTTGCCAGTCATTTTGACTAATGTTGAACCAGAAATCAGGTGTGATCAAGCTACAATTAATTTGGCCAGCCATTATGACAAGCAACTTACTGGCCATTATTTTAAGCCCTGTGATTGGTGGAGCAATTATTTGATTGATGCTGTCAATGCTTTATCATGGCTGTGTTTTATGCTGTCATGATATCTCACTGAAATGGTATGGCAATCCTCTCAATATTATTGTATGTGTGCATTTATCACAAGTATTGGTGTTTTTTCACAAAAGAAAGTTTCAGAAATGATATTTTTCTTGTAATTGTCAAATTCACAAGCGTTTTAACTCATGATAGTCCCCTTCACAGTTCCCTACGCCATATCAAAAGGTAGCCGTGTGAATAATTGTCCAAGGTGTTAAAAAAGGTCTCTATCATTGCAAGCTTGCCATTTGTCTCACTTCCATGTAAAGGCATGGCTACCTTTCAAGATGGCGCAGGGAACTGTAAAGGGGACTATTTTGAAAACAAATGTCAAACCCTGGAATGTTTCCCATTGTTAGAGCATATTATTATCTGACCCGGACTGGAGGAATATCTTAAAATATCTTGTTGACAGTCAAAACATTCATCAACTGTGTTATAAATAAATAACTACCAGTTTCTTGATTAGATGCTATATATATTTTTACTTCTGCACATATTTGAAATACATATAGCTTTTTTGATACTGTTCTGTAAGTTGACCACTTGAACATTTCGATGAACAGCTTAAAGAATTTTTTATTATTTTGCACATTGGCAAAAATCTTGGCCTAAAAAACATAAAGGCAGAAACCAATAAAGTGCAAATAATATACCCGTGAAATAGATAGCTAGCTAACTAATTACTAAACTTTGGTTGCCTAAGTCTAATTAGTTAAAATAGGCGAGCCATGATGGGTAAACTAGTGCACGTGCTACTGAAGGGCGTGCATTTTTAATTATTTTTAAACACACTTACAAAAACTGCAACAATATTTTGTTGTAAATGCTTTTCCTTGGTATAGTTTGACATGTTTGCATTTTCGTATCTATTCATTTGCGTATTGAGTTGTTACTCTAGTAAACGCCTGTGCCCTTGTCATGCCTCACTGAATTCCTATGTTTTGTCTAAATAAGCGCTAACTATCTCCTATTTCATCCTATTTCATGGGTATATTATTTGCACTCTACACATAAATAACAAAACTCTTCATTCCAACATTTGAGGCAATTCCATTTAAATATTGTTAAATATATTAGCCTAATTAATTAATAAGTGCAATTGTGGGAAACTGTGTAGAACATACCTGTTATATTCGCCATTTCAATAACCATGCCCCTCTGTATCCCCCTGGGGACAGGCTAAAGTCAGATATGCTAAATTTGAAGAGAAAAAAACAGGTGATAAAAGTTTGACACCTCAGATTCATGTTAAAACAACATGTATTGGTTTTTGAATAATTATTACTTTCCATGATAATATTTTGAGTAATCTTGAAAGAAAATGAAAATAAATGCAAAATGCAAGCTGTTATTGAAACTTGAATAGGCTTGTTTCAATCATTAGTTTTTAACGTAACCACAGTATCAATAACAGGTACTTTGGTAAAGCAATCACATCTAATGCATAACTTCAAATAATAAAGCAGCTAATATTCTTTATTTCACAACAAAATATTTTATTTTAAAAGCTAAGAAAAAAAAGACTTGTTTAAATTGAATGACATAACTAACCTATTTTACTAAAAATTGCAAAAAAGAAAAACAAGTGTAACAAAAAGAAAACACTGTCACGAATTCCATTTCAATTTGCTTTCAACATTATAATAAGGTGCTACAGTAGGGTGTAATATACTATTTCTTCGGCAGGTATTATATAAACATTCCTTTTCAATCTCTCTTATCTTTTTATATAAAGCATAATCACTTGTCATTTTAACATAAAAATCTTACAACACATCTAACATCCAGCTCTACATCGTAAGAGATATTCTCTAGCTTGTAATTCTAATTATTACAATGAAACTATGCTATATTTCATGGATTAATACTCAAAATAATCATTGTAAAGAAATGAAATTTATACCAGTCCATGTTCTGAACAATATAGTTACAGTACAAAACTTGTGAATAGATACATCCCATTTAGTCATTTCTTTACTCATTCCCATTTTTCATGTTCATGTGCCTTTGGTCATTGGATCTTTTCTCATTAATTCACTTTCATTCCCTTCACATCTCCTTCATGTCTGGTCTTGTCAAGATGGTGTTTTGTATCTTCCTCCAGCTTTCTAATATCCTCCATCGTCATCCCATGCCAGCGATCCAACCAACAAAACAGCTGACGATGAAAGTTATGAAGAAGGCGCTTTACAGCATTTACGATGATAGATTCTACTTTTGTCTGTAATCCCCACCACTTGAATTCAATTTCGTAAAGTTTGAAGCAGGTCATCAAGGGGTAGTCTCCTTTTTTCTTCTCCCAGCCTTTTGACAAAGGACCACGACCAGTTTTCTTGGACTGAAACGTCCTCGGATCTTCGTCTTCTTTGTAGTCTGAAGAATGCTCTGGTGCATCGTAGATATCTAAAGAAATTACTTCTCTCTTTTTTAATTTTGATCCATTCAATTTATGAACATTTTTATTCTCTTCGTCTTCAGGAAGACCTGGTTTGTGCCATGTATCGATGTAGATCTTAAAGTTGTCCCCCATGTAGGGATTGCTGTACTCTGTCCTACAGAAAGGATATGCATTCCAGGCCTTCTCATGAACCTCTAGAGATCCTGTTGGAGCGAGCCATCGAACGACCGTAGGCACTTTACTCGCTAAATGCATAACCTTAAAGGTATACTGTCCACTGCCATACTTCTCGTGATTCTCGTAGGGTTCATTTTCCTTCACTTCGATTCCTTCTCCTCCACCAGTCTCATTCTTACTYGCTTCAGCAACAGCATACAACTGACCTATTCTGTATTCGTCGACTGAGATCGGTAATGGTATTTGATATTCTACGATTCTACTCATCGTTAAGAGAGAATATTCAGAAGCATTTGGGGTAAAAAGCTAGAGTATTTCGACACACTTGGATGAGTGCAAAGGAAGGTTCAAATGAATTAATACCAGCATGCAATACTGGCACCRGTACACAGGGATCCCAAAATAACCACAGGAAGACCACATCATGACGTTCATCAATCTTGCTTCACCTCATGGTTTGAAAGGAAGATTATTATAGATTTCAGGTATCAAAATAGACATTTATTCCGATACCCCCTTTGGKGCAGGAATGATTTAACAAAATAAAACTTTGACAAATAGAAGATAAGGACTATTAGGGACAGAACATTAGATAGTTGATGGGGGGGTTGCGTAAGTCCCCAAAAAATATCAAGCAAGCACTTAAACCTCAAAAAAATATCGTGCAACCTCTTCTGCTAGAAGAAAAATATCAATAATTGATGATTATCATTTAATAGTCTATCCCTTATATAGAAAATATAACTTTGTTTTGCAAGGCTAGCATTCAATAGGCAGTTGCCAACAAGCCTTTGGGCCTCCCAGTAGACCTTTTTACATTTCTTACTTAGGCAGCTGTATTGGCTGTGACAATAGTTTTCCCCTGCACAACTTCTTATTCAAATGCCACAAGATGAGTACACAGGCACAGCAAGACTCTTTCTCTTGGAAACCATGGAAACATTGCTGCTTTGTGATGAGTGTCCATGATCAAAATGAAATTCTAGAAGTTGTTTCATTGTTGTTGTTGCCTTTTTTTTTTTGCAGATGAGGAAGAGAAAAGAACAGGAGAGAACCAACAAGCAACTCTTCACTAACTTCTGTGATGGTAAGATGGTCCAGAATTGAACCCATTGACCAAATGCACAATGGTGATGGGAAATGCATTTGCAGTGCACACTATCCATACTTCCCAAAACAAACATATTGGTTAATTCAAACTATAATGGAAAGCAGTGTTTTGTGATAACTTCATTTAAATGTTGGCATTACATGTACATGAATTCCCTAACTTAATACATAAATCAATTAAGTATCATTTGTTAATTCATTTAAACCTATTGAATCTTAAAATTGACAGCTAATTATACAAAATACATATTTACAAGTAYGCTGAAAAAAGACTGATTGATATCRATACCATTTGGATTTCTGGATTCTTAGACAGAAAAAAAGATGGCTAACAGAGTGCATTTTTGCYGTGCTGAGTTCTGAACTTTATTCCCGAAATCTTAGTCAGGCACTTTTCACCTTTCTGCAACTTCCACAAATGTCAACTGGCTCTCAGCAATAATTTTTTTAAACTTAGACCATTTTATTCCATATAGATGGCAACTATAAATTTAAAGGACGAGAAAATGCATTTGGAGTTGTATGGATTGCAGAAAATGAAGTGACACTATTGTGACATTTGTTGTTACTATGAAGATGAAAAATACATGCAGAAGTGATATAAATAGAAAATGTAGTTACTTCCCACCAATGCAGAAAGAGTCTTAGAGTGCATTTAGTCACACTGTTGAATAGTCAGATAAATTCATCTAACTTAGATAACTATTTAGTTGATGTCACCTAAAATAGTAAGTATGCACCAAAGAAAAGGTCAATCGAATTCAGGGGTTTACTTTACCAGAGAAAGAATGAGACAATCAGTCAAATGTATCATCACATTCCCCACTGCTTTTCAGACTCTGGCATCTGAATTTTCAATTTATGTGACCTCAACTAAAATAGCAACTAACTTATCCAATGTAGGTGAGATCAACTACTCAACAGTTTTACTAAATGCACTCTACAATTCTGTCGTATGTATTTTTGTGAAATTTTTTAAATCTATTTTCATTAATTATTAATAATATCAAATGCCCATCGAAGGTAGAAAAGTCAACAACAATAATACAGGATTTGAAATTTCTACTGGAATGTTTTGGATTAAGTTTTCATTCCCTTCACATCTCCYTCATGTCTGGTCTTGTCAAGATGGTGTTTTGTATCTTCCTCCAGYTTTCTGATATCATCCATCGTCATCCCATGCCAGCGATCCAACCAACAAAACAGCTGACGATGAAARTTATGAAGAAGGCGCTTTACAGCATTAACTATAAAGTTCTCAACCTTTGTTTGCAAACCTTTCCACTTAAACTCTATTTCGTAAAGTTTGAAGCAGGTCATCAAGGGGAAGTCTCCTTTTTTCGGCCAATCTGCTGACTCCAAAGGACCACGACCAGTTTTCTTGGACTGAAACTTCCTCGGATCTTCGTCTTCTTTGTAATCTGATGAATGCTCTGGTGCATCGTAGATATTTATAGGGACAACCTCTCGCTTTTTGAGTTTTTGTCCAGTCAGATCATGAACATTTTTATTCTCTTCGTCTTTAGGAAGACCTGGTTTGTGCCATGTATCGATGTAGATCTTAAAGTTATCCCCCATGTAGGGATTGCTGTACTCTGTCCTACAGAAAGGATATGCATTCCAGGCCTTCTCGTGTATCTCTAAAGCACCTTTGGGAGCGAGCCATCGGACGAATCTTGGCACTTTACTCGCTAGATGAATAACCTTAAAGGTATACTGTCCACTGCCATACTTCTCGTGATTCTCGTAGGGTTCATTTTCCTTCACTTCGATTCCTTCTCCTCCACCAGTCTCATTCTTACTTGCTTCAGCAACAGCATACAACTGACCGATCTGATACTCCTCCACCGAGATCGGTAATGGAATTTGGTATTCTATGATTCTAGACATCACAAATGAATGCCCTGAGCTATGGAGATAAGATAGTTAATTCTATCAAAAGGGGATCCAATGGTTTGGTCTCTGATCTACCGGCTTCTAGTAAAATGGCGGCGTGTTCTTGCTTGCGAAAGAACGCCTCACGTGGGGCGTGGGGAGAATAATGACGTAATCTCAATTTATTAACCATAGTCATGTATAGAAAATAAGGCACGTATTGGTCTTTGATTTATATAATGAATGACTCATAAAAGAGGTAATTCGAAGCGTCTGGACTATTCTTAATACGTGAAGAACACTTCTGTTCTTTATTCTTTTTTGTTTTTCCTACTGCACTACCGCTTACTTATTACTCCTACATTCATCACTGCTTTGTTACTATTAGTATATTGGGTGTGGTTTACTTCGAGTCTAACTCTATTGTTTTATAACTTTTCATTATAGTTTTGTAAAAGAAATTATTTCCGTTTTATTTTCCCCAAAATCTTCGCTTTCTTTGAGTTGCGGACTACCTGTGTCGGCGCGTCTCTGTTGCTATGTGATGACGTCATAATAGGCACAAACGACCAAGAAAACATGGCATATCCCGTATTTTGACTTGAAAAAACTCAACAAAAACAACTTAAAGTCATATTTAAAAAATGTATACCGTTATGGTATGCTTCAAAGAAAGACTGATAAATGTTTTGTGCTATCAAAATGGATTTATATTTGAAAATATGACCAGAAATTGAGCCTAAAAAGATGCGAAGTCCTCGTGCAGCACAAGTTTGTTGTGATAGTTCTCTGTGTCAACATCCAGATTGTTGGCGTTTAAATTTACAGCGAGTAAGAGAAGCAGTATGGCGTAGAAATGGCATTGAATCTGAAGAATCCTCTACGACAAGATCAATGAATGTTGACCAAGTGTATTTGACAAAAGAGCAACGTTTGGAGTCAACTGATGGTGAGTAACTGATTTTCAAGCTCGCTCTATTAATGTTGGTTAAGTATAAGATTAGTAATTTATGGGATTTCGTCCCCTGCTGCTAATGTTATTAATAAGAGTGCTATACTCAGCACTCTTCACGTATACTAACATTAAAGCCCCCTGAGGCAGCTGTTTGAAACTGAAAACAGCTGATTGCTAGATGCTTTGTGTTTGGGAAAATATCCACGATATTGGCAGAAGGAAATGGATAGTATTTTTATAGGGTGCAGAAAATCCTGCAAACTTGGAGTATATATTCTATTATAGACTTGATAGGAAGTCTTGAAATAAAGTGGAACTAAAAAAATCTCACTTGAAGGGGAATAGGAGTAGTGTGATGCTAGTGGGCTGTTGTAGGTATAGCTTTAATCCCTAGACTTGCCTAAAAGAGGCACTGTCTGAGAACATTTTTTAATATAAATATAATATCATTATTTATATATGGTATTTCAATAAAGATATAAATATTCACATACATGTCTCTCGTAGGTGGACTACCTACTCTCAAGGTAGTTGATATGTTCAGTGACCTTGATGAAAGGATAAATAGTGCCCCTAACAGGCAGTTGAAACAACCGAACCTTCACAGACGATCCACCTTGCTACCATCACTCTCTCCAGACCAAAGGTAATGAGAACTACAGGAATCCCATAAGTATAAGCATCAAGTTAAGAAGGTTGACTATAGAATCTTTGTGATTTATGCTTTTGAAATATTATAAAGTTATTTCAGGCCAGTTTCTTAAGCATATTTACAAACTCTGATTTTACATATGCATGGCATGAATAAAGCAAATTATGATACTAAATCATCTTATTGTCTTATAGCCAACCAACTGTTTCTCCCCAAATGCCCCACCCATCACCTATTATTTCACCATCAGCAAGAACAGAATATCAAAGAAAAATGCTGTGGAAAAAACAGTTTACCAACCCATCAAGGGCAGAGACTTCAATAAGTAGAGAAAGTGGGAATACAGTTAAAGTAGCAACTATTGGTGTACATGAGGTGTATGAACCAGAAGAACTATGCCAGGAATGGGAAGAAGTGTATGTTACTTCAGCTTATCTTGTGTGGTGTCCTTCCAATAAAAAGGTGAATAGACCCTTGCATTTATATTACAGATGAGTCTTAAATCATTTTAATATTGCTTCTTTATCACCAATATTGCTACTTGTAGGAGGGACCTATTGCATATTGATGATATGAAAATTATCCAATTCTATGCCAAACTTATAAGCATGAAAACTGCATATAAATAGTTAGTTAGAAATTAGTCTAACTACAACAAAATTGGCCTGGTTCTTGTTTGACCATCCACCAACAGTTAAACACTTTAGTACTGCGACATTTTGACACTTTCATGTGTTACCAAGGTCTATTAAGTGTTTTATTTGGTCTACAAATGTTTCACTTTAATTAATTATAATCGGTTCTTCTCTATAGTAAAAACATGCTTAAACTTCTTATTTTGGAAAATCATAAATTGTGTAGGAATGGACTGGACTGGGTGCCAGTTGATTGGATCTTGAATCACACAAAAATTCTCATATTTTCAGGTTCTGAAAGGCTATAAATAATCTTAATGTATAGTAAAAACATGCCCAACCATTAAAATTTGATTTATCCTTCTAGATTCTGAATTATGAGAGATTTTTTATTTTGGAAAATTCGGAACCGAGCATAGCTGGAATGGACTGGACTTCGATTACCTGGATCGTCCGGATCGTAAAAGCATTTTTACGCCTAATTCGCAGTTTTTATTATGTAATTCTTAATTTAACATTCATAAATAGTATTATCATATGACCCGTATGGCCCTGCTCACGCGCTCTAATAAAACCATTGGAAAAAGTCACGTGATGGGGGCCGGACGGGTTGACGTAAGCGGGCCGGAAAAACCCGTCCGGCCCTGCTCGAATCCGCGCGCTTTCTTTTTCTTAATTATTTTTATTTTCGTGAGGGTCATATGATAAAATGCTTATTGACTGAGTTAGGTCGGGCCGTACGGGAAAATATTTGGCTCTCGGTCATTTGTACGGACCTCACTACGCTCGGTCCGTACGACATGACCTCGAGCCAAATATTTTCCCGTACGGCCCTCCCACTCAGTCAATAAGTACATAATTTTATAATGAAATTTTGAAAAAAAATCGAGATTTATTTTTTCATAATATTCCCAAGAAATTGTATGTCATTCAGACATTCAATATTCATTATTATTATTATTATTATTATATTATATTATTATTATCATTATTATTATTCAGAAGAGAAAGAAAAGAAAAGGATCAAGTGGGAGGTAATTATTATATTTAGTGCATGTGGTGTCAAATAACAAATAATACATAAATAATAATAAATAAAATTCAACATTGGCATTTCCACTTCGTGGCTCATTACCCACTGAATTTGGGTTGCCTCTCTTCCACTTTTCCTCTGCTCCTTCCCTGTTGATGTGCTGGTCAATCCAACAGGATCTTCCCTATTCAAACTCTGAAGATTAGTCACAACTGTTGTCATGTTTATTCTTACCAGTTCAAGGTCTTCCATTACAAAACCAAATTCTAATAAGGTTATACCAAAAGATGTGACTGAAGACTTTGTTCCTGCTGCAATGGAAACCATAAAAGAAGTGAGTTAATAACTAACTGTGAGTTGTAGATACATCCCACACCGAGAAGACACTAGTGAAAACGTTTGTACTGTATGCATTTCAGCATCTCTTACTAAGAATTCAAGACCAATTTAGTAAGAAAACACAGACGTTTTTCATTCATGTCAACCGAGTCCTGTTATCTTGATCCTCCTGGGAACCAGGGGAAAGGTTTGAAATAAGTGTTTCAGATTTTCAGATCAGGGTTGAAGACAATGAATGAGTTCCACAATGAATGTTTTCTTAAGCTCCATGTCTATGAAAACTTTACTAATTTCATGTTATTGATGATTTAGATTCCTCCAAAGTCCACTAAGACGCCAACTGGTGGCCAGCCATACTCACCACACAAGAGCCCTGCTAATCAAACAAACCTCAAACACTATGGGTGAGTCATGATTCTCCTAAGCTGACTGACAAATATACCCTTATCCCATATAGCCTGATATAGGGGTCATAAGAGTGACTCTATATAACTACATATAGCACAGTGAACAAGCTTTGTTTTTCATGTTTTTTTATAGGATGGATGATCTGTCAGATTTACCAAGACCTATTCTCTCTGGGATGTTGAAAAGGATTACACAGAGGTATGATAGATGATATACATTCTTGCTAATGCTAATGTATTGTCAGCTAATATATTGACACCCCACTATTGTGGACACCCCACTATTACGGACACCCACTATTACAGATGCACCACTAAATATGGACACCCCACTATTACGGACACCCCACTATTACGGACACCCCACTATTATGGACACCCCACTATTACAGACGCTCCACTATTACGGACACCCCACTATTATGGACACCCTGCTATTATGCACCCTCCACTATTATGGACACCCCATTATTATGGATACCCCGCTATTAGGGACACCCCACTATTATGCACACCCGACTATTAGGGACACCCCGCTATTAKGGACACCCCACTATTATGCACACCCGACTATTAGGGACACCCCACTATTATTGCACCCCACTAATTCTATGAATTTTTAGATTGATCTCCTCTTTCCTCCTTTCATTTCTCACATTCTACATTTCTCCTTTCCTTTTCTTCCCTTTCTTTCTTCTTCTCACTCTTTCTTTTTGCCCTTCCTTCTCATACTTTTCTTTTCTTTCTTTTCATCCCAGGAAGTTATATGTACATTTTGTTTTCCTTTGTAGAAGTAATGAAGTCACTCCAGAACAAGACCCCAGAAAAGAGCCTAAGATGGCTTCCAGCCCAACAAGTGAACCAATTACCAAAACCAAAAAGCTTCTGGATGGCGTAGACCTCTCTGCAGACTTTGACAGCGTGGTGGCCAAAGAGGAGAGAGCATCCAAAGTTCGCCTTGCAGTTGACATTAATTCTCGGTTTACAACTCCAGCAGAAGATGAAGCATTAGAAAAACAAAAGGAAATGGAGAAAAGTGAAAAGGAAAAGCAAGAAGCTGAAGCGCACCCAACAAATGTCCTAGACTTGGTCAAAAAGGGTGATTACAAGCCTGCGCAGTGTAAGTCAAGTCGTGAATTACTCCGTTTAAACTCTATTGGTGTTCCAGTTGAAGACCTTCCTTCTCCCAAATCTCATCATTGTATGAGTTCTATTCCAAGAAGACTGAGTTTGGGCGCGTCCCTTGAGCCAGTGAATATAGTACCAATTGAAGGATGTCCTACCAACACCCCCCCTAATGAACCACAGGCTACCCAAGTAGCAAAATTCGATGAAATAAAATCAAAGAAATCACAGAAAATAAATGAGTTCTTYGTGGATATTCCTCATGGTCGTGCTAGCTCTGCTTTGGAACGAAGCCCGTATTATGGTGAAGTGGATAGACTCTACGTTCACCAATCATTCAGGTAAGATCCTTAGTCATAGAATTCCTTTCTAAAATGTTAAAAAGAATACTATCAAAGACTCAAATCAGCCCAAAGGGGCTTCAGGATATGATCTGTGAATTAGTCCTGCCCGGAAGTTGTTTCAGGGTTCGATAAAGTCGGTTTGATTAACTCTAAATAAATTGTTTTAGGAACTCCCCTTCACCAGTTAGGGCACCTGCGCCAACGCCCAGCAGTCCAGACAAGTACTCAGAGTTTTTCCGGCAACATTCCCGTGTTTCACAAGCTCATCGCAGTACCTCCTTACAAGAAGACGACATGCTTGCATCAATGCAAAGATGGAATACCTTAAGCTATGTGGGTGATACAGAGGAGCCTGCTCGCCTTGAAGGGCTTGCCGAGGCTCCGATTTCTATACTAAGGGGGAGTCCTGCAGGAAGACGATTTGTAGAAGCAGACAAGGATCAGGACGTGTCAGAAGAAAGAATTTTCTTGACCGAAGGTTTTGAAGCAACACAAGATCGTCATAATACACCAGATACAGGATTTTTGGTAGATGACAAGAGGGTTCTGAAGGGACCGCCTTCAGACACGAGGGGTCGAAGCCCCAGTCCTGGAAGCCGTACACGCATTCCTAAAGACATCATTGAAGAGTTTCGTGGTAATCTCTACGGAAAGCAATTGCCTAAAGAGGAATCCAAGGCCAAACAAAAAGCATTAGGTTCAAAATCCAGGGAAATTGTTCTTGGTCCTAAAATCACAGTGTCTGGATGGCGTCCTCCAAGATCAAGGACCCCTATTCCGTTTGCTGAAACTCCTGCTCGCTTTGCTCCTCGACCTCTTAAACAACCTCCTCAAGAATCCGTGCCTAAGTCGTTACATATTGTCCCAATCCCTACCCAGAACTTTCAACGACCAAGGAGTACTCCTCCGAGAATTACCACTCCAAAGTCAAATTATATAGCGCAAGTGCTATCAGAATCTTCGCTTCATAATACTGGTACATCTATAGAGGTACATGGTCCTTCAACTAACCTCAGTGATACTGGATCAGTACCCCCTCCTCCCTCCCCTGAGGCTCTTATTTTACCTAATGACCTCAACATGGCCGTGTCGACACTGGAGCCTTTGTGTGAAGAAGATGAACGTAGTAGTCGGACAACTAGTATTGCTGAGTTCGTTGAAAAGGGCACTGGTAATCCTAGGTTGTCCCCACTTGGAGGTGGAAGTGAGATCAGTGAAGAATCAATCGATCTTCCAAAAGAACTGTGCGAAGATCCTGAGGATGTTAAGGAAGAAGATGATAAGGAGGTACCAGAAAACCAGGAAGAAAATGATGGTGGGTCTGACCACAATAACACAAAGTCCCAGGTTGACCAGGACAATGCTACAGATGTAAAACAACCAGAACAGCCTGAAGAACAAGTACAGGAAGATGAAGGGTTAAACAACGAGAAGACTGAAGATAAAGTACAACAAAACGATAACGAAGTGTCGTCTACACCTGTACCAGATACCATTGATAAAAATGAGCTTCAAGCTACAGAATTAACCCAAGGCACTGATGATCCCTTAGAGGTAACACAAACCTTTGAATCCGAAGAACCACGCCCACTAGTATCTCCTCAAGCGATCTCTCCTAGGCATGGCTCACCCGAGACAGCACCTCAACCTCCAGCCTCACCAGATATAACATCTGATCAAGACTTTACAGAAGGTGTTGATATGGACTTGGATCTTACTGCTCAGCTACAGGCTGCTATGGAGGGATTAGATGATTTTGATCTAGATGATGATGATGGGGATGACAATGTTAATACCAGGGATGAGGACGACAATATTAATATTATTGAAAATAGACAAGACGAAGGAGATAAAAATAGTGATCCCATTGATGAGGAAAATGAGAAGAACAAGGTCCATAATGGCGACAAAAACCATGATACTAATGATACTGATGATGGAAAAACTGATAGCAATAATGACGAAAATACGGACCATACTATTGATAAAGAAAATGACGTAAATAAGGTTGATAGTGATGACAAAATGATTCAAGATGTCAACAATGATAACAGTGATAATGATGAAAGTGACGTAGCTCAAAGCAATTTGGACAAAGTCGATCAAGAAGAGAATTATTTTGACAGAACATCACCATTACTAGAGGCATAACTTTGTATCAATATATATACTAGTCAACCAAAAATCATTCAGTAAAAATAGAAAGTAATCAAATTAATTTGAATAATATTTGTACAAAATGATTGGTTGAAATATTTGATGCAATTAAGTGATTCTATTTTTTTACTATTTTTGAACCAGCTGATTATAATTTATCTGAATAAAATGAATACAATGAATATTTTAGTGTTTATAAGTTATAAGCTTTGCTGTAGTAAAACCTAAATTACCATTAATATAGGTAACAGGATTACATGTTGTCCAATTTGAAAATAAGTAGGTTTTAAAAAAATAGAGAGGAATATGTTTAAATTGGACAGGCATGTAGGCGGGTGCTATTGAAGGTTAATGATATCTAAATTATCAATTTATATGCCAAACTTATAAAATTAGTCCAAATATAACAATATTTCCTTGCTTGTTGTCTGACCATCCACCATCAGCCAAACACCTTCAGTTCTTTTGAGACGTTCATGTGTTATCAGGGTCTATGGAGTGTTCTATTTGGTTCATGAATATTTCATTTTACATGTAAGGGAATCTAATCAATTCCCTATTGTAAAAATTTGCCAAAGCTCCCAAAAATATATCCTTATTTTGAATCCTGCATTTAAGATTTTTTATTTTGGAAAATTATAGATCGAGGAGGATTGGACTGGATCTTGAATAACAAAAAAAATTCTCATATTTTCAGGTTCTGAAATGCTATGAATAATCTTAATGAATAGCAGAAACACACCCAACTATTATAATTTGATTTATCCTTCTAGATTCTGAATTATGAGAGATTTTTTATTTTGGAAAAGCCTGAACCGTGCATAGCTGGAATGGACTGGACTTCGATTACCTGGATCGTCCGGATCGTAAAAGCATTTTTACGCCCAATTCGCAGCTTTTATTATGTGATTTTTAATTGAACATTCATAAATAGTAATTTTATGATGAAATTTTGAAAAAATCAAAATTTTTTTTTTTCATAATATTTCCGGCAAAACTCATAGGATCGATGCAAATGTGTTTGTCTTGTCTGGGCATCCACCAACAGCCAAACACTTTAGTACTCTTATAAAGACTTTATTGTGTTATGAAGGTCTATTCACTGGAGTATGGTGAACATATATATTTTTCAAAGGCTTTCAGTTTCCACATGTAGTTGAACGTATGACAGTCAATAACTTTCATCCATTTTGTTTACATATCTCGTGTGCGATTTTATACTTTACACTAATACTACATTCTTTCATTTTCTTTTTTGATAAGAGAAACCAAGTGCAATCATCTGCAAGGTATTAAAGATTTATCTTTTATAAATGTCATAAAAGGATGAATAAGATAAAGGTAAATATTGTGAATTCAAAAGTGCATTTTGGGACGTCTGTTTTAGGGAAATATTTTCAAGATGGCGTCTATTTCGTCCCTACAACAATTTTTCGTTGTTACTACACAACCCTGCGAGTTGTCGAGACTTGCATTTTTCTGTGGGAGGTAGACTAACTAAATGCCGGGAAAGTCTCACATAGCTTGGATTTCCGTTACCAACCCTACGAATGGCGGAGACTTGGAATGACACGGGCCTTAAGATCCTGCTTTATTCGTCGCTTATGTCACTTCAACAACAACAACAACAACAACAACTTTATTCTCATTTCAATAATAATGTTACAATTATAATTGCTTAACCACAGTTAGCTTAAAAAAAACTATTCGAGGCGGAAGCAATTTGAGAAAAACAAAATTAACATAGCTTAATTAATACAGAAAAGAATTGTAGAAAAAAAGAATGAAACGAAACAAAAGAAAAAAATGCAAGACAAAGGGACAGTTAAAAGGGCAAACTTTCGATATATATATATATCTTTTCTAGTTATGGTAAGTATGAATTTTAGACTAGACTTAACTGGCAAAAAGACAACAATTTTTGCAGAGGCATTCCTTGAAAAAATAAGAAATAAGATCAAAATGATGTTAATTTAACTATGTTGTAATCGATGTTTTCACGAGATAAATGATTTGTTCCAATTCTATATAATCATTTGCTTTCTCTAAGATTTGTAGGAGAAGGTTTCTGATTTGAGATTTAAATTGACTTCGCTTGAAGTCACTTTAATTATCGTCTCTATAGCTTTACAATATCTTTTAGGTCCATTAACAATTTTTAGCGTGACCTAATGAACTTATAATGTCACAAAGAAAATATCTAAGCTTAGCAATGCGTTTTAATGAACTATCAAATCACAATAAAACATCTCATCCTAATCAACAGTGATTGGCTTAATCTTAAAGGTGACTTAATGTTAAAAACTCGAAATAACAGTTATGAATGCATAACTGAGTATCAATAATCTATCACTAAAATAAGCTATTAGAACGAGCTTTTACCCTTTTACTGGTATCGCCTAATATATAGAACCTATTCATGTATTGGCTACCCAGGAATTCAGTGGCAGGTCATCTGCGAGAGTCGCGAGACCACTTAGTGCACTTAGCATGCACGGCTAACTTAACTAACTTAATTCATGAATTAACAATTTGAAACTAATATCTTATTTATAAACTCCTTTACTATATCTTTTGCTTCTCTAAAATATTTCATTTACACCAGTTTTGCTGTATCCATCGTTTGTCACGAGAAGACCCAGAAGCAAAAGAACAACGAGAAGACTAAAGTTAAACGTAACAAAATGCTGTTCAAACTCCTGTGCTTATCTTTGTTGTGTTGCATTGCCAGCTGCACTAGGCGTGAACAACAGACCTGCGGCGAAGAGAAGTTTTACTGCCCGAGCACTAAGGAGTGTTTGAACCGGGACCTACGGTGCACCAATAAGAAGGTCTGCGTCGATCTTGAAAGTGGCCAAGAAAACAACTGTTTTGAAGAACGTCCTGGTAGATACCGCTACTACAAAAAACAGTCTCCGCTGTTAAGCAGTGGGTCCAGCAAAAGTAAACGATTGGTGAAAGGTTGGAATTTCAAGCATTGGTTCCTGGAGTACCGTGGTTTTGCGTACGAGTTCGGCACCTACGGTCATCAGGAACTTGATGTGAATGATCCAAACTATAAATATGGCCCTGGAAGAGAAAAAGTTGTGAAAGAAGAATTGCTCGGAACCAGTAGTTGTACCAGAGATGATGTCTTGGGATTTCGTAGGGAATTCATGGCGGCTAATCCAAAGTACAAACTCCATTGCAATAACTGCCAGACGTTCGTCGAGTTTTTGGCAGAAAAACTGAAAAACGACTGTTCACCGACCCAGAACAAAAAGAAGTTTTGATAACGAGATGGAAAGTCTTAAACTAGAAAAAAAGCTTCATTTAAAAGGTAATGTTCACAAGAATCGAACAAATTCAACAAGAATTCGTGGCAAGGGTCAAAAAAATCAAATTCGCTCTCCTTTTGAGAATCGATAGGTCTTAATTAGATATGAATCCTTGGGTAGTTAGTCTTCGAAAATATTATCTTTTGTTTTCGAGAAATCGGCCAGGCAAGAGGTTCGACCATAGCCCCCAAGCAAGAGACGCTCAAGATGATGTGTGGAAATGGCCAAACTTTGACGTGACAGCGCGCGTTAAAAAATAAACCATCTATGACAAATCTTGTTTTTCATGTTAAGGGGAGAATTTCTGGCAAGTGAAAATCGAAGACCTGTGTCTACACATATGTTAAGTAGTTACCTCAAAGGAAAAAAGGTTTTTAAATCATGTTGTTAGAACTGTCTGCAAGATCTCTGCAGTGGCGGATCCAGGATTTTTCAAAGGAGGGTTCCGTTAATTATTTGGGGGAAATTAATGCTCCCCTTTCCCCAATAAACACGAAAACCACTCCAATGAACGAACAAAAGGGATACATTAAGTAGAAGGTTCACAATTTGGCATAGATGGTTTATCTTTTACGAGCGCTCTGTTCAAAGTTTGGCCCGATTTCCACCCCTCTTGAACGTGTCTTGCTTGGGAAGAACCTCTTATCTGGCCGATTTATCGAAAATTGAATAAAATTTTCGAAGACTAACTATTCAGGGATTCATCTCTAATATCTAAAAGCCGACAGCGAATTTGATTTTTTGACCCTTGCCAACATTTGTGTTAGATTCTTGTGGACATCGCCTCTTTAAACCATGGGCTGTAGGAGAATATTTGGTTTGTGGCGGGGAAAATGCTTGTTGGTAGACCAAATAAATCATTAATTACTCATTTGGATCTGTCAATCTATATTTTATTGATTGTTACGTAAGCCTATGATGAATAAACATGAAAAAAATGGTATTTTTACCTTTTTAACTCGTAGAAACGAGGTATTGTCACTGAATAATACAAATGTGTCACCAAGTCCCACAGGGTATAGTCCTATCTTAATTCACGCTAACGCGCGCTGTGATTCATTGTAAGTTTCTTATAGCGCGACATGGTCTTATCCTAATTTACTCCAAAGCGAACTGTGGTTTCACAGTACTTTTCTCATAGCAATTGAAAATTATTATACGTTAAAAAAACGAAAGGATTTTTTTGAATAAATTATTTTAAATTAGGCAGGCATGTAGGCGGGTGCTATTGCAGATTGATGATATCTGAATTATCAAATTATATGCCACACTTATAAGCATGAGAATTGCATGTAAATAGTAAGTTAGAAATTAGTATAGGAAATCGCACGATCTCGAATACAATTTGGAA